AGTAAGAGAAATAACACACTACAATAAAGCAGACTTTGTCATGATAGGAAATCACAGCCTTCAACAAATAGAAAAATCATGAAAACATTGTCTACATTCAGGACAATCACCAGCTGTTCTGAGACAAATAATTCATTCTCACAGCTGCATTTCTTTGTGAAGCATATGACTAGCCTTTGTTGTTTGTCTAATGAACATCATATTGCAGTTCATTTAAATCACACACAAACAATACATTGAACAATTTATTGACTAGCAAATTTTACTGTATCTTATCATGTGCATTATTCCATCTAATATAAATGTAGAATGAAGAAATGAAGTGACCGACCTGACAAGATAACGCAAAAAATATGCCAGGGAAATTGTGCAATATACTGTTTGTGTCCTTATTGAAATACATAACAGAAAACATTGCTCATTTTTACAACTGTATTTCTTTGCAGCACACATGCTTAGCCTTTGTTCTCTGGTGAGCAATAGTGAAGACAGCTTGTTAGTTCTGTGCTCTGAACAAAAAGCATTTCATTGATGAAAGAAAAACATGAACAGTAAATACACAGCTATATATAGAAAACCTCCACACCAACCAAGCACCAAGTTAAATGCAACTGTAACTGTTGCAGGCATGACCCACATCTGATGATGTTGGACTTATTATCGTAACAGTAAATTATAAAGCATACATGTAATAACCTGCAAAAGATGAATAAATCCATCACCCAAGCCATCTGAGAAGCGCAAGACTAATACAGCAAACCATGGCATTGGACTACTGGTATCAGATGACAAAAGAAGAAAGATACATGTAGCATGGTATCTAGATGCGTGCCTGTCAGCCCCAATGTCTTAGGTTCAAACTGATAACAAATTTAAAAAATCTTTAAAAGACTGTTACCGGGTCGATCCAGACTAAAAGGGTTACCAGGCGGAGTCCTGATGTGAAAAAAGGTCTTTGGCTATTAAGCATACAGAACTAATGCCACTTCCACTGAACTCTTTCCACCCCAAGCAGTTGTGACCACAATACTTTCTATCATACAGTGTATGTTCTTTATTTAGAAAAGCGATCTTTGAGTCATAACGAGTTCAAATGGCAAGCTGTGAGACAGAATGAGTTAAAGGAATCTTTGAGTTCCAATGGGTTAATAAAATAAGAAGAAAAAAAGAGGAGATCTGAAACATGTACCTTGTACAGAGTAATCAACACGAGATGAGATGCCTGCACTGACAAAGCTCACTAGGCTCAGAAAAATTTATAACTTAAATATATATTTAAAATAAATAGACTGCATGGCAGGATTATTTAAAAAACAAAAACCAGAAACTAGATGAAACAGAAGCAATGCCAGACATGTCTGAAATAACAGCAACATAAAATCCATCAGAGATGAACTGCAAATATACTTCTTATTCTTCTCATAAAACAATTCGAAATGAGCAAGGGAGAAGAAAGGGCATCTGAGGCTAGTTACAAATCTTACGAGAATATATCATTTCAAACATGTCTGGCATTTCATTTATAATAGCTGATTCCTGTTGGGGGAAAAGGAAATGGGGGGGGGGGGGGGGGCGATGGGGCAGCTAATAAATGCAGTGACCTGGAGCAGACAATTTGCCCAGTCCAGTTTCAAACTGAGTTCTTTTATTGACAAAAAAACAAGTCATATGATTTGACCAATTGCGCAACAAGCAAATATATATGCCTGATAACATCACATTTTCTTGAGCAATAAATACTAAATCAGCAACACTGAACCAATTTCTAGCATTTAGCTGATTAAAAAGCAATTGTGTGCCATCTTCACAATAAAGGTTGGCTACAGTGTACCCGCTGCTTCCTTCACCATATGTTTGTTTTAGGTTTTTACATCTGATCCTTGTATGCCTACAACTGTAGCATGAGTTACAGAAGAAACTTAAGTCGCAGGTATACACATGTATATTGACATCATCAATAATACTTGGGCTGTGCAACAACAAACTGGTACTAGGACATTACTGCAGCTCTCCACAATGCTCAAGGTCGTTGCCAGCATAGGGACATGGCCTACTGGTTCGGCAGTCGATCTGTTCACGTGCCAAAAGTGGTCACCTCTGTAACACTGATCTGATTAAAGTTTTTTTTTTTTTTTAATTCCTACTTTTTTTAAGAGTGATTCATCTCTTTATTTCATGTCTGCATGTCAATAACATCTATTTGCAAATATTCTTGGGCAGAAAATGACACAGAACAATTTTACAGCCAAAAGATTCTTAGCAAACATACATACAAGTCTGATGCTTGACAGGTTTATTAATACCAACAATCATTAATACCCAACAGAATTCATTACACATAAATAATGAAGAGCAAATATCAGGAAATGGAGTTAATTAACTGTATTCAATATTTTCTAAAGAACTCCCAGAAAGAAAGAAAAATGACTGAAATATGTAAATTTTTTTTTAAAAGTTTTCAGAATTAATGAGTTTTTAACCCTTTGGCTCGGTACTATAGATATTGCAACCCTTTGGCCTTGATTTCATGATAGATACCATAAATCTGGGAGAAACGTGGCTTTTCTGCCGACCCCCGGGCGTGAACCTGGACCACAAGGAGTTTGTCACCCGGTCGCCGCGCAGTCAGGTTTAACCAACTGAGCTAGCGAGCCGGGCAAATATGTAAGATAAACCCGATGAGCAGCCATCAGTAATAATACTAGGGCAAAGCTAAATACATGAAAAAATAAGCTTTGCCACTGATACAAATGTAGAGAAAGCAAACACATGGCTTCTAGGAACAATAAACTGTTATCACATTGTTTTCCTGTCCCAAATTTCAGTTGTTTAACTTGAAACAACTACATAAAATACACAACTTCCAGAATCATATGAAATAAGTACAACTGGAGCATTGTCACCATTAAACTCAAACTGCAGCTTCATTTTGTACAGTGCACTCTTAAAGTCTGACAAATCAGTACTTAGGGCCGGGAATAGTAGCTGATTGTTTCTATAAACGCTTTATTTTCATTTTATGTATGCGTAGGTTAGACTTTTTAAATGATACCAAGATGCTTGTGTGGGCGGTTTACTTAGTGGTGTTCCTTGCACAAATTATAGACATTTAAGGCAACGTCTGTTTGATGGATCCTCCATAACAGCCTCAGAACCAGTCAAAGCATCTAGCATTTCATATCCTTTGACACCAGCATATCTCAGCATAAAAAAAATTACTCTAATAGATCTCTGCATTGCCTTTTTTAGCCTCTTTTTCTGCCTTTCATCATCCAATGGATCACAGACCCTAAATCAACTCATAGCAAGCCTTCTGAAAATTGTGCTTAGCTGGAATTTTCAGCTAAAGTTTTCTATGAGATCCGGTCGCCAGTCTCACCGCAACTTTCCTTAATCACTTCTTACAACCTATATATTATTTTATAGGCTTTTTTAATCTCTACATCCCTGATGACTCTTAGCAGCATGTGGACAATGATTCAACAATACTGTATCTAAATGTCAAACTTATTATTCCTGTTAGTCTCTCTATTCCTGTTCTACCTTTCGGCGCCATGTCTCGAAGAGGCATCTGGTACAAGCCTTCATGTGTTGTATGTAGAAGCTGGTATTCACGACCTTGAATATTCCATCCATCTACTGTTTGGGCAATCTCTAGCTCTGCTTCTGTTGTGTTTAAGTGACAAGGGCTCTCTGTTGTACGCTACATTGTGTAGTCTTGACACATGTCCAAACCCTGTAACCTATTGTCTGTAGATGCAGCTTAGCACTGGTTCCAATCCAGCTTAGCACTGGTTCCAATCCAGCTTAGCACTGGTTCCAATCCAGCTTGTTTTCTGGTATTTCTGATCCTGTCTTTTCTTGGAACATTTTGGAAGATGTCAAACTACTGTATTTCATGTCACACTGTTTTATCTAAACATCAGTGCCATTTGTGACATGCAGTTTATAGTGAAGTCTTCTCACATTTCAACATCAAATATTACATACATTCATGATCTTTCATCAAAATACAATATCCATTAACCAGCACACAAAAAGACAGAATCTATTACTCTCAAAAGACATACACATATACAGAAAAAAAATACACATAACAAAACTACATTGAAGTTATTTATATGCATCAAAATAACTTGTCTGTGCTTATATATTGGAGAAGCAATTACATTTGTCAATACACAAGGGGATGTAAGAATAAGCATAAATTAATCACTTGTATGCATCACCCTATTGGTAGATTTATCTCACACAAAACAAAAGAAGTTGATGTGAAGTGGCAAATTAATATTTTAACAAAAGAGGTTGATGCAAAGTGGCAAATTTATATTGTACAAAAAATTTCAATGAACACTGTTATAAAATACAGAAACATTTTCATTCTATAAAACCCCCTTATCTATTATATAGACATTAAAAAAAAATTTATTCCAAGCAAAAACAAAAAGAAAAACCCTCACCTTCAAAGAATGTAGTTCTGTACAACCCTTTCATTCTACAAATGCAGTTTCATGATGTATCATATTTTTCTGTGTATAATCCAATATCCCCCACCCCCTTTTCCACCCACCCAAGTTTAAAACTTGGAGGGTCATCTTATACATGGAATGTTGCAATTAAATATATAAATAAATATGTGCTGCTATCCATATTATCTCCCATCCCCCAGACTCCCTTTACTGCTGACACTCCTTCCCCCTACTCCAGACACTGTCCCTCTCACCTGGTTTCCTCAGCCACCCATGGCTACCCAGACACCCCTCCCCCACCCTCCCTATCGAAGTAAAATATTTATTTCTTAATCTGGGGCTCTCTTATACGCACACAAATTATGGTAACTTTAAAAGAAAATAAAACAAAGATGACCAACTACTGATATAAAACCCTGAGCATATACACTGTTCAAAGCCATTATCACATTTCCACCACACACATTTTTGTTGTTGCTTGAAACGATAGGAAAAAAGCTGAAACTATGCAAGTTAAAACACCAGTGAAAACTAAGTCAATCCTCCGGAGACATGTTGGGTGCTAAATGTCCGCCCCCGCACACTGAGGTCTCCACTGCTAATGTTTGCAACTGAACGTCGGTTTTCCTGTGAGAGATATTGATCCAGAAATCAGGTCTAGTTTACTCTTTAGCAACAATTTCAATAAAGGTAGTACAAATAAGGGATCCTTTTCTACAACTTCAGGCGAACTGCGTGTATAGGGCTCAACCCTTATTTTGTAGACCAATCAGTACATCTGCCCAACGAAAGGCAGAGAGCAAGAACTGCACACAAATAAGCCAGCCAAATGGATGTACACGCAAAACTCAGGCCCTGGTACAAAGCCAAGGTTCAAATGGACGAACAACCAGGACTTTCACAGCCAGTGAACAGAAAGAAAGATAAGACACAAACTCCTCCTATTTTCTTATATCTGTCATGGACCCCATACTTTTTAACAACAGATATATTAAAAATAAAAAAATAAAAATAAAAATAAAAATAGTAAATCTGTGTCAGAATCGGAAAGAAATAAAAAGGCTGAAGGTTTTGTTTTCAAAATAATAGCACGAAGCCCTTAAATTTGTCCCCCCCCCCCCCGCGTCCACTGACCACAAGCTGGGAATCACTGTTCTAGACCACATCAGATGAGGTAGGATGGCCGCCTCCCTTCCTTCGCATCTTCCCTCCCCACTCTCCAGACAATTCCCATAACATTCTGGAAATTATCCAAGTTCTTACCCGCATAGGACTGCAGCAGGTAGTACTGGGCTGGTGAAGCCGTAAACTTCTTTGGAGGTTGAACGTGGCATTTGGGATTTGCTGTGACGGTCTGCCATCCAGTCTAAGAGATTTTTTTTTTAAATCTCAGGGTGGTAAACCAGGTAGCAGCCTAGAGTGGACAAACCAGCCAAATGACTGCAGAGACTAACTGAAAGTATGGTTTAGGTGTAATCTGCAAGAATTCAAGCAAAAACTAAAGTAATATAGTCAGCTTCGTCATCATCATCATCCAGTCATACTTTTGCAGAATGTTGCCCTCAATCTGTACCATTTAAGTTTATAACAGTAAGAAACAATCAGTCATTTTTTTCCCCCCTCAAAAACCAAACCATTTCTACCACAATAAATGGCAAAATAGTTTGAAAATAATAATGTGCAGCACAGTTCTCAGAATAAGATGCAGGAGTCGACCAGCACACTGGGGAACACAGGATATCAAGGGCACTCTAGACAGGAAAGTTGGTACAGGATCAAGAAGCCTTCCAGCATGCATTATAAGAGCAAGGTGCTACCATTACCTACTACCTGATAAACCTATGTCCATTACACACTGGACTACAGGTTAGTTCCTAACCATTTTGTGTGCCCCAATATCTTCTTCTCTTCCACCTTGTACCTCATCGAAGTGTCGGGGTGGGAGATGTAACAATCCTTGATGAGCTCTGTCAAGAGCACTCTTAAGACCGATGTTCATTTCTGTAAGGCTGTTCTTAATGCCATCACTTCATATTTTCCGAGGTCTTCCACTGGCTCTATACCCGTTGTAACGTTTTAGTGTGGCTCCCTGTGGCAGACAGTACCGTGCCCCAATATAACAGTACTAAATAGCTGTTTGGTTGAACGGGGCTTTCAGGATCGGTACCTGTTTGATTCTCATCCTGGAGATGCTAATTTGTTTTTAAAAACTGTTGAGAAAAAAAAGTACTGACAATGACACAGAACTTACTTGTAGCTTGTCATCACTACTGCTGATTATGTTGAGAAAAAAAAGTACTGACAATGACACAGAACTTACTTGTAGCTTGTCATCACTACTGCTGATTATGTTGAGAAAAAAAGTACTGACAATGACACAGAACTTACTTGTAGCTTGTCATCACTACTGCTGATTATGTTGAGAAAAAAAGTACTGACAATGACACAGAACTTACTTGTAGCTTGTCATCACTACTGCTGATTATGTTGAGAAAAAAAGTACCGACAATGACACAGAACTTACTTGTAGCTTGTCATCACTACTGCTGATTATGTTGAGAAAAAAAGTACCGACAATGACACAGAACTTACTTGTAGCTTGTCATCACTACTGCTGATTATGTTGAGAAAAAAAGTACCGACAATGACACAGAACTTACTTGTAGCTTGTCATCACTACTGCTGATTATGTTGAGAAAAAAAAAGTACTGACAATGACACAGAACTTACTTGTAGCTTGTCATCACTACTGCTGATTATGTTGAGAAAAAAAGTACTGACAATGACACAGAACTTACTTGTAGCTTGTCATCACTACTGCTGATTATGTTGAGAAAAAAAGTACTGACAATGACACAGAACTTACTTGTAGCTTGTCATCACTACTGCTGATTATGTTGAGAAAAAAAAGTACTGACAATGACACAGAACTTACTTGTAGCTTGTCATCACTACTGCTGATTATGTTGAGAAAAAAAAAGTACTGACAATGACACAGAACTTACTTGTAGCTTGTCATCACTACTGCTGATTATGTTGAGAAAAAAAAGTACTGACAATGACACAGAACTTACTTGTAGCTTGTCATCACTACTGCTGATTATGTTGAGAAAAAAAAGTACCGACAATGACACAGAACTTACTTGTAGCTTGTCATCACTACTGCTGATTATGTTGAGAAAAAAAGTACCGACAATGACACAGAACTTACTTGTAGCTTGTCATCACTACTGCTGATTATGTTGAGAAAAAAAAGTACCGACAATGACACAGAACTTACTTGTAGCTTGTCATCACTACTGCTGATTATGTTGAGAAAAAAAGTACCGACAATGACACAGAACTTACTTGTAGCTTGTCATCACTACTGCTGATTATGTTGAGAAAAAAAGTACCGACAATGACACAGAACTTACTTGTAGCTTGTCATCACTACTGCTGATTATGTTGAGAAAAAAAAGTACTGACAATGACACAGAACTTACTTGTAGCTTGTCATCACTACTGCTGATTATGTTGAGAAAAAAAAGTACCGACAATGACACAGAACTTACTTGTAGCTTGTCATCACTACTGCTGATTATGTTGAGAAAAAAAAGTACTGACAATGACACAGAACTTACTTGTAGCTTGTCATCACTACTGCTGATTATGTTGAGAAAAAAAAGTACTGACAATGACACAGAACTTACTTGTAGCTTGTCATCACTACTGCTGATTATGTTGAGAAAAAAAAAGTACCGACAATGACACAGAACTTACTTGTAGCTTGTCATCACTACTGCTGATTATGTTGAGAAAAAAAGTACTGACAATGACACAGAACTTACTTGTAGCTTGTCATCACTACTGCTGATTATGTTGAGAAAAAAAAGTACCGACAATGACACAGAACTTACTTGTAGCTTGTCATCACTACTGCTGATTATGTTGAGAAAAAAAGTACTGACAATGACACAGAACTTACTTGTAGCTTGTCATCACTACTGCTGATTATGTTGAGAAAAAAAGTACCGACAATGACACAGAACTTACTTGTAGCTTGTCATCACTACTGCTGATTATGTTGAGAAAAAAAAGTACCGACAATGACACAGAACTTACTTGTAGCTTGTCATCACTACTGCTGATTATGTTGAGAACCGACAAGGAGCTTGCTCTTTTCATACTGCAGAGGAGGAAAAGAGTGAAACTATTGTGGCATCGTTCTGTACAAACTGTCAACACCACATGTATTTACCACTTTTGCAGCGTAAGCAGAGGAGGAAAAGAACTTACTTGAAACTATTGTGGCATCGTTCTGACACAAACTTGTAGCTTGTCATCACTACTGCTGATTATGTTTTGAGCGTAAGCAGAGGAGGAAAAGAGTGACAGAACTATTGTGGCATCGTTCTGTACAAAACTGCCATCACCACATGTATTTACCACTTTACCGCAGCGTAGCAGAGGAGGAAAAGAGTCAAACTACTGTGATTATCGTTCTGTAAAAAAAAGTACACGACACCACACTGTATTTTACCACTTTTTGCAGCTACTAAGCAGAGAGAGGAAAAGAGTGAAACTATTGTGGCATCGTTCTGTACAAACTGTCAACACCACATGTATTTACCACTTTTGCAGCGTAAGCAGAGGAGGAAAAGAGTGAAACTATTGTGGAATCGTTCTGTACAAACTGTCAACACCACATGTATTTACCACTTTTGCAGCGTAAGCAGAGTTGAGAGGAAAAGAGTGAAATGACTATTGTGGCATCGTTCTGTACAAAAAAAAAAGTCAACACCACATGTATTTACTTGTAGCTTTTGCAGCGTAAGCAGAGGAGGAAAAAGAGTGAAACTATTGTGGCATCGTTCTGTACAAACTGTCAACAACAGCAAAACTGCCATCACCACATGTATTTACCACTTTTGCAGCGTAAGCAGAGGGAGAAAAAAAAGAGTGAAACTATTGTAGTGCATCGTTCTGTACAAACTGTCAACAACAGCAAAACTGCCATCACCACATGTATTACCACTTTTGCAGCGTAAGCAGAGGAGGAAAAGAGTGAAACTATTGTGGCATCGTTCTGTAAAAACTGTCAACAAAGCCGAAAACTGCCATCACCACATGTAGCTTTTACCACTTTTGCAGCGTAAGCAGAGGAGGAAAAGAGTGAAACTATTGTGGCATCGTTCTGTACAAACTGTCAACAACAGCAAAACTGCCATCACCACATGTATTTACCACTTTTGCAGCGTAAGCAGAGGAGGAAAAGACAATGAAACTATTGTGGCATCGTTCTGTAAAAACTGTCAACAACAGCAAAACCGACTGCCATCACCACATGTATTTACCACTTTTGCAGCGTAAGCAGAGGAGGAAAAGAGTGAAACTATTGTGGCATCGTTCTGTACAAACTGTCAACACCACATGTATTTACCACTTTTGCAGCGTAAGCAGAGGAGGAAAAGAGTGAAACTATTGTGGCATCGTTCTGTACAAACTGTCAACACCACATGTATTTACCACTTTTGCAGCGTAAGCAGAGGAGGAAAAGAGTGAAACTATTGTGGCATCGTTCTGTACAAACTGTCAACAACAGCAAAACTGCCATCACCACATGTATTTACCACTTTTGCAGCGTAAGCAGAGGAGGAAAAGAGTGAAACTATTGTGGCATCGTTCTGTACAAACTGTCAACACCACATGTATTTACCACTTTTGCAGCGTAAGCAGAGGAGGAAAAGAGTGAAACTATTGTGGCATCGTTCTGTACAAACTGTCAACAACAGCAAAACTGCCATCACCACATGTATTTACCACTTTTGCAGCGTAAGCAGAGGAGGAAAAGAGTGAAACTATTGTGGCATCGTTCTGTACAAACTGTCACAAACTGTCAACATCACCACATGTATTTACCACTTTTGCAGCGTAAGCAGAGGAGGAAAAGAGTGAAACTATTGTGGCATCGTTCTGTACAAACTGTCAACAACAGCAAAACTGCCATCACCACATGTATTTACCACTTTTGCAGCGTAAGCAGAGGAGGAAAAGAGTGAAACTATTGTGGCATCGTTTCTGTACAAACTGTCAACAACAGCAAAACTGCCATCACCACATGTATTTACCACTTTTGCAGCGTAAGCAGAGGAGGTCTTTGAGTCTGCGGATTTAGGGGGGCATGACTAGTACAGTTGCCATGAATTGTGCAGGGTAGAATTTTATTTTTGCCCCCGACAGATAAAAAAACATAACCTCACAGAGCATTCGAACCTGGGACTCCTGCAAAAAAAGCCCAGCATTCTTAACCATTCGGCCAGCAATTGCTCTTCTTTAACCCTTTGGGGACGGAGCCTTTTTGGAGTTTCGGTGCCAAGAAGACAGAGCTTTCAGAAGATGATTCTCATAGTTTATACACAAAAAAATTATAAAAAATAAAGCGTTTAATAAACGTATACAAAACTATAAATATTTGTGTAGGAAATGGAATGAACTAACAGAATATTTATGAATCAAACTGAAATCTCAACATTTATTCAAATTAACTATTCTGATTTGCATAATTTATGCAAGTAATTTTTATAAAACTTGGCAACAAACATAACTAACTCGAAAAATGTAGGTAATTTCATTATGGATGAAGCTTGAATAAGTCCTGACACCTGTATTTTGGGAAGTAAGGACCTCGAAGGCCCTTCAGACATGCCTGGCACATGGTTCTACTCATTTTCCTGCCTCCAGCCATGTTTCAGTTGCTTTGATGCAACAGTACTTTTTGCCATTTTTTGGGCACAGGTAACTCCAGAAAAAAATCGATGTAAAATTCCAGAATACATAAAACTTTCTCGAAAGCCATCAATGAACAGTCCACATGTGCAAGAAATGCGAGAAGCAGTTTGATTGGCTGGTGCGAAAACTTGCCAGCTAATATTAAGGCTTTTATTACACAGGGCCGACCGATCGGCCCAGCCATTCTTCTGGCTACTTTGCGTTGGGCCGATATTTCGGCCGTGTCGTCCCCAGAGGGTTAAAATCACAGTCCCATTACACATCAACTTATTACCAGAAGCTGGCTGGGATTAAAGTGAGAACCCTGATGTATGTCGATGACCTCAGAAGAACTGGTTGAGAGTTTCAATGAACCCCTGGTAACGCACAGGCCAATTTCTGATGAAGCTGGTTTTCTTCTTCATGTTCTCCGGCGGTTAAATTCTGGTTGTTTGGCCACTCCTGGACTCTGGTCTTGTACTAGGACTACAGTGTTTGTGTGCACAGCCATTTTACAGATCTGGCTTATTTGTGTGTAGACTGTTAGTTCCTTGCCTCACTAGCAGATGCACCTTGACCGGAAGCAATCGTCCATCTTGGGAACCTGTTTCTACGATGACAGCAGAGAGATGACCAATTTTAGCCCTGGTCTCGATGCATCGCCACCTTGTGATTCAGCACCTCCAGAGGTAGTTTTACAATTTCCAGCACATCTTTCCTTTCCGTATCTAACAACTAAGGATGAGTAACTTCTTATCCTCACTGTTTCCTCACCAGTATCAAGTGCAACACTCAGTGGCTGGTGGTCAATAAACATTAAATAATAAGAGACAAAACAAGCAAGTAGAGGCACAAGAAGTGCTAAATACAACATAAAATGACACCTGAAAAGCTTAACGGAGAACGAACAGGAGACAACAGGAAAGATGTTCATAAACACAGCCAAACATTGCGACCAAATTCTTTATCAATGGAGCGATTAGTGAGACAGCAACAAGTGATAAACACAATGATGTGTAGATCTGGCTACAGATGCGGATGCCAGAATAAAACACATAATGAAATATGTTAACCATGGCAAGAAATGCATCCTTTAATTTACTGTAGTAGCACTGTGGAAATGAAAATTATTATAAGCTTGAACCCAGAAGCTGTATGTCTCTATAAAACAATCAAAATGATCTACAATTAGATGGGCGGTTTGCATGCTAGACCAAAGAAACAATAATTACAACTGAAAACAGACAAATTATTGCTTAAACAAATAAAAATTAAAGGTAAAAAGTAAAATACAAACAAACAAGTGCTAACTACACATAGCACAATTTCAAATACTAAAACTACGAGAAAAAGGTATGGAGGGAGGAGAGGAGGAAGGGAGGTGCTAGTTCTTCTTGTAGGTCACAGATGTTGCACTGGATTGTAGCCACCCTCTCTCCTGCTTCAGCTGCAAACAGCTCTTTGCATCCTGTTTTATTGTACGGAGTATCACTTTGACAACGGTGGTTATGACTTCCGCTGACAATTCACTTAGGAGGCAAGGAGGAAGAGATTTTAAAAAGGTTGGGGAAGAAGGAAATTAAATAAATGAATTTCAAAGAAAAAGTAAAGAAACAGCTATAATGTATCAAGCTCCCCCCCTTTTCCCCCTTAAATGGATATGGAAGTCTAGCCAGCTAAACAACAAAATAAACCCACTTCCTTCGGTGAGCTCCTGAACTCTGTAGAATGGTTTTCAATCTAGAATGTATATCAGTACTAATATTCCGCAATGACAGCCGAGAAAACTGATAAAGACTTAAGCATTCATGTGTAAGTGAAAAGTAAGTATGTCATAGTCAGAATTGAAAGAATATTTGGGTTTTCTTTGCTATTAAATCTGGCGGGAAAGTCCTGGTTTTTTGCCCATTTCCGAACACTGGCTTTGTTTCAGGACAAGAGTTTTTCCTGTGCGTCAATTTTACAGATATGGTTTATTTGTATGCAGACTGTTGGCTCCTTGCCTTTCAGGCAGACGCAATGCAAATTTGAAGGATACACCATTAATTAGCCAGCCATCTCCTAAGATGTACAATGGGTCTATTCTCTCTCCTCCCCCAAAATAGGGCCCTGAACAATAATATAGTAGGGTCAACAACGCATAGTGGAAACAAAATTATCTCTTCTTGTGTGCATCCACCTTGACATGCTAGGAGGGTGCATGTGTGTTCTAATGACCCCATGAGCTATGTCAGTGCTAACAATGATACTGCCAAGGTTTACCATGATAAACTGTAAAGGGAAAGAAACTAGATTAGGTGAGACACAAACCTACTGTCTTGTAGGTAAACTAAAGGCAGTCAAAAGCTAGGAAAAGCAAATTTAAAAAAAAAATGCAGGTTTGTAAGGTACGTAAGCTACCCTTAAATGGTGTGTGCCTACATTTTGAATGTACATAAGCTAGTCTTGAATGGTATGTGTCTAAATGGTGAATGTACGTAAGCCACTCTTGAATGGTATGTGCTTAAAAGTTTAATGTACGTAAGCTACCCTAGAATGCTGTGTGCCCCAGTGTTAAATGTGTGTAAGCTCCTCTTGAATGCTCTATGTCCCAGTGTTGAAGGCATGTAAGCCCCTCTTGAATGCTCTATGTCCCAGTGTTGAAGGCATGTAAGCCCCTCTTGAATGCTCTATGTCCCAGTGTTGAAGGCATGTAAGCCCCTCTTGAATGCTCTATGTCCCAGTGTTGAAGGCATGTAAGCCCCTCTTGAATGCTCTATGTCCCAGTGTTGAAGGCATGTAAGCTCCTCTTGAATGCTCTATGTCCCAGTGTTGAAGGCATGTAAGCCCCTCTTGAATGCTCTATGTCCCAGTGTTGAAGGCATGTAAGCCCCTCTTGAATGCTCTATGTCCCAGCATTGAATGTGTGTAAGCTCCTCCTGTATGCTCTATGTCCCAGCGTTGAATGTGTGTAAGCTCCTCTTGAATGCTCTATGTCCCAGTGTTGAATGTGTGTAAGCTCCTCTCGAATGCTCTATGTCCCAGTGTTAAATGTGTGTTAGCCCCTCTTGAATGCTCTATGTCCCAGTGTTAAATGTATGTAAGCCCCTCTTGAATGCTATGTGTCCCAGTGTTGAATGTGTGTAAGCCCCTTTTGTATGCTCTATGTCCCAGTGTTGAATGTATGTAAGCCCCTTTTGTATGCTCTATGTCCCAGTGTTGAATGTGTGTAAGCCCCTCTTGTATGCTCTATGTCCCAGTGTTAAATGTGTGTAAGCCCCTTTTGTATGCTCTATGTCCCAGTGTTAAATGTGTGTAAGCCCCTCTTGATTGCTATCTGTCCCAGTGTTGAAGGCATGTAAGCCCCTCTTGTATGCTATGTGCCCCAGTGTTGAAGGCATGTAAGCCCCTCTTGAATGCTATGTGTCTCAGTGTTGAAGGCATGTGAGCTACTCTTGTATGCTATGTGCCCCGGTGCTGAATGTGTGTGAGCTAGTCTAACAAAATTATAAGAAAGAAAAAAAAAAACTATGATAATCAAGCAGATTCAACTTTTCAAAATAGCACATAAGGAAATGAGTGTATCTGAGAGAGGGGGAAAAACAACTCTCACAGACCTGTCAGAACTGTAATTGTCTTTGGCATTCCAGTTGGGGCTAATGAAAAACAAATCATCACAGCGCTAATTAACCATGCATATGATAAAGGGGGGGGGGGGGGGGGGGGGGGGGGAGGGGTAAATGTTAACATATGAAGTGACATACACTGAAAAAAACCATACAATATTTCTGCACAATCAGACCTTTAACTCTTCAATAACATACTGCTAGTGATATGTGCCACACAGATGTAAAACATATAAAATGTCACACAGCAATACAGATTCAAAATTGTACAGTAAAGTAAAGGACCCTTTCCCACACCTTCAGGCATAGTGGGTATATAGGGCTAGACTATTTTATAGACCAATCAGCATTTTGCTGGTGATGTGATCAACATCCTGCTGGTAACTCTTATTTTCCTAGGGCTCCACCTGGTAACAATTGAAGGCTGGGTCAAGCTGGGTGGGGGGGAGGCAAGGTCATTTGTTTTAAACGTCCAGCTCAGTCAGGACCTGAACTCGTGACCTTCAGATCTGCAGGCAAGTGTCTGGTCACTATAGCACAGCTGCTGCCATTTACAGTTTTACATCCACTAAAACATCTTGCCCGAAACAAACGATATCTTACAGAAATACATCTAAAATGTTGTTCTTCTAAGGAGCTTAAGCCCTCAAATAATTCATGTTAAGTCATTCTAGCATTTGTCATCACATGCAGCAACCAAACAACCACACAACATTTTATACTCATTTAAATATCATGAGAATACATATCATAACAAGAAAATATCATACAGAAATATATATAATGTTTCATTCACTATAATTCATCTTGCCACAACTAAACAATATCATACAGTAATCTTCTTCTTCGCGTTCACGGGCTGTAAGCTCCAGCAGAAAGTTCTGGTTGTTCATCCACTTCTGGACTGCATGTACATCCGTTTTACAGGTCTGACTCATCTGCATGCAGACTTTTGGTTCCTTGCCTCTCAGGCAGATGTACTCCGTCTTCGAAGGAAGCTCCTAATTAGTTGACTCTTACGACATGCTTTTGGGCAGGCAGTGGGTCTATTCTTGGTTTCCCCACAGCTAGGCCCCGGAACCCACACGAGGAAGCCATACAGTAAAGAAAATATATATATATATATATATCACTAAAATATATTTTATCATAATCAAATGCAGACAAATAAATGTTACTTTCTCTAAGATATCACTCAGTACATACATACAATATTAAGTCAGTTGCTTCCCTGTGTGGGTAAGGCCCTATTTTTAGGCAGGGAAGGGGGTGGGAGGGCACAGAGGGTCTAACAAGCATGTTGTAAAAGATATCTAATTAGGTGTGTTTCCTTCAAAGTCGAAGTGCATCTGCCTCAGAAGTGAGAGAAAAAAAAACAGTCTGCATAAAAACAGGCCACATCTGTTAACAGGGAAGTGGCACGCAAACTCCAGTTCTAGAACAAGACCAGAGCAACCTGAACCTTCCTCCAGAATTTACAGCCGGTGAATGCTAGGAAGAAGAAGAAGAAAAAGAAGATGAAAAAGAGGAAGAAGATGAAGAAGAGGAAGTTAGTTGCGTATCCTTTACAGGACACAGAGGAATGAACATCAGGACTGCTGGCTGTTCGTGATTATTCTAAGATATTTTACATTTAGTAGTTCACCACTGCTTGTTCTTCTTCTTCTTTGTGTTCACCAGCTGTACACTCTGGCGTAAAGTTCTGGTTGTTCGTCCACTACTGAACTGCAGTCATGCTCCAGAACCTGAGTGTTGCATGTGCATCAGTTTTACAGATCTGATTCAATTGAATGCAGACTGCTGGTTCCTTGCCTCTCAGGCAGATGCACTCCGACTTCAAAGGAAGCTCCCCAGTTAGTCGACTCTTACGACATGCTTTTGGGGAGGCAGTGGGTCTATTCTTGTTTTCCCCACAATAGGGCCCCGGAACCCACACGGGGGACCACTGCTTGTGAATGGCCAGCTCTTGATACCACTGTCAAAAAAACAATGCAAGGCAGTCTGCTGCCAAATCATTGCAGCTAGGATCAAACCGGGTATCTCAGAATTACAAACCTTGTTTGTAATGCCTGAGCCACAGAAAGCAACCACACAATTACACTCATTATATACTACATCTTATCATAATCAACTGATTTATAGCAATACCCATAAAATGTTACACATGCTAAAAAACTGCACACAGTAATTTATTCATTCATTCATTGTCCCTAGGCACCATTATATGTCACATAAAGCTCATAGTCTACTCCTTCATTTCGTTCTATCTTCGCAACCAATTAATATTATGGATGGAATCCAGTACAACAACTTTGGCTTCTCTTGTCAACATTCGTTTGAGGGTTTCTTGTAGCTGTCCTCACCTCCTTAGATCACAGTATTACTTATATAATTTTACACACTCAAACAACATATCTGACTACAACGAAACCATTTCACATAATAAAATATATACAAAATTTACACTCACTCAAATTTCACACTGTTAATTTAAAAAGGGAAAAGGAAAAAGGAAAGAACCAATTTATAACTTACTGAGTATACAGTGTCAGCCCTATATAGATCAATTAGCATACTTACAAATGGTAAGAGTAAAGGATCCTGTTCCATGCCTTTAAGCCTAATGGGTGTATAGGGCTAGACCTATATTTTACAAACCAAATGGCACTTGGTGGGTGATGTGGTCAGCATCACGCCTGCCACCTTTACTTCCCAGGACTGTACCTGGTACCCACTCAAGGCTGGGTCGACCTGGGAGCCAAAGTAATTTTTTGAAGAAAAAAAAAATCAGGCCTCCGTCAGGACCTGAAACCACAACCTAGCCAATAGACCACGGTGGCTCCCCTCTTTAAAAAAAATTTACATGTAGTAACCAAATGTAATCAAAGTCACAGTACAAGTGTAGTGTAATGGTTAATACATTTGCACTAAAAATAAGTGGTTCTATGTTGAAATTCTCCTTTTGTTGGAATACAAGCCGTCATGAACACACTAGCCCCTTCAAGTGGGTTGTCACAATTTTAATAGGTTGTAATTTATTGTTCTTCTTTTTCTTTGCGATCGGTTTCACATACTCAGGTTATTGGGTTGTCTTGTCTCCAGGAACTGGCAGCAAGTCTCGCACTGCTCCCTAAAGTATGTACTAAATGCCTCTTCCCTCTATGGGGCATGGGTTTTCTTAAAGGTTTTGCTCTAGGGGACAGTTTTACAGTAGGTGTTTGGAGTGTGGCCTGGCAGAGACACTGGGCAGATTTGATAATTTTACCTAAAATCAAAATGTCTGTAACTATGTGAAGATTTTAATTCTAAAATCACCAGGTAAGCATAAGAAATGGAAGATTTTAACTCTAAAACCAACATGTCTGTTGCCTTTTGAAGATTTTACTCAACTGAACCTTCCCCACCCATCGTAATAGGAAAACTGTATTCCTAAAATCATCAAGTATGATTTAACTATGAGATTGTACCTCCAAAACAAACATGTCTGTGGTAATTCTAAAAGAGAAGAAAACCATTCTTCATACCTTCCTCCAGCATCCCCTTCTGTGCCCTTTCCTGTCAGCCTCTGTACCAGTTTGGCACTGCTGCGCTTCAATGATGCCCTCAGTTTGGTGAATGAACCACTACGTTGCATCCGACCGCTCTGATTGGTCATTGAGATGACATGTATTTATTTATGCAAATAACATGCTAGGTGCGATAATGTAGAGCACAACAACAAAAATAACATAAATCAGCTGAAAAAAATATATTTTGCATTAAAAAAATCTGTAATACCACACTCGAAAAAGTTATTTTAGCAGCGATCATTTGTCATACAAACTTTAATTTACTGAGCAAAATATTTATGGAAAAAGTGAAATAGTACAAAAGTACTTTTTTTTACTACAAAAGTCTGACAAATGTATATATTAGCAATACTACATGAGTTTTAACACTGATAACAACTTTTTAGTGGAGATAGGAAAACAACTGTTTAAACATCTTATTCTACATGAAAGATCATAATAATCTTAAGTGATTTAGATATAATTTTGAACCAAATAATACGAACAGTTCAGGGGTATTCAATTGGAGACCTGCGGGCCGGATTCAGCCTGCAGAGTGGCTTAGCTAGTGGAACTTTGCCAAATCAGTGATCTTTCCAGCTCGTAACAAACCCCTTTTTCAACTTTTTGGCCCCTGAGTTAACATGCTGAATACCTTTGGTATTGTTGCATAAGGGAGCACACTAGGTAGATATTCACCTGACCTGAAGATCATGGGTTTGAATCCGCATCAGGGTATATTTTAAAAAATAAGCGTCTAGAAGCCGTTTTTTTTTTTAACAAAATAATGCAATTTTTTCTTTGTTAATTGTAACAACAAAGAGAATTCTTTAAAGCTATAAAAATCATATCCTAATATATGGAAGGGAATCATGGACATTAGATTAGTGAACAATTACTTGGAAGCTACAGAGATGTGGTTTTATAGATAAATTTTGAGAATACCCTGGACAGATAAAAAAGGTAATGAAGATGTCTTGAAAGAAACTGGCTCACGAAGAGAACTGATTGCCCACATCAGAAAAAGACAATCAACATTCTTTTGTCAAGACATGAGAGGGAGAAAACTGGAGTATATCGCTGGACAGTAGGAAAGTTGGAGGGGAAAAGAGGTAGAAGAGAGAGAGTGTGTGTGACAGAGTAAGAGAGAGAGAGAGAGAGAGAGAGAAGATGTTGGGCTGTCTGACATCATGGTCTGGAAGATCATCTGCGTCAGAGCTGACTGAAAGTACATGAGACAGAAGGTTTTGAAAGACATGACTACCAACACCACATGTCATAGACTTTGAGAAGTAGGCATCTAGGCTGACCCAGCCAAAAATGGGTACAGGGAATTACCCTGGGAAGTAAAGAAGGCTGACATAAAGGCTGATCACATCAACCACTGGGTGCTGAATGGTCTAGCAATACAAGTCTAGCATCATTTGCCCATGCCAGCCACATTTACTGTCCATGATGCCCATTTAAATCAGGGTTGACCTGAAATCTCAAGTCAAAATTGATAAAAATCCTCGTTACAAGGATTTTATTCTTGTTCTTCTTCTTCTTGTTCACCGGCTGTAAACCCTGTGGATAGTTCTGGCTGTTCGTCCACCTCTAAACTTTAGTCTTGTTCCAGAACATGAGTGTTGCATGCACATCCATTTTACAGATCTGACTTATTTGTATGCAGACTGTTGGTTCCTTGCCGCTCAGGTAGATGCACTCTTTCGAAGGAAGCCCCCAGTTAGTCGACTCCTATGACATGCTCGGGGGAGGCAGTGGGTCTGTTCTTGTCTTCCCCCCCACAATAGGGCCCCAGAACCCACACAGGGAGGGCTACAAAGATTTTATCACTGACCACCGCCTGCCAGGCAAGCATGCTAACAAATGTTCTACAATGACAGCCATAGTGGATGTAAAGTAGACGATCCTATTTTATACAAGTGGCATATTAAGCGCATGATGCTGCAATCATATATTTTTTAGTCTTTCAATTTTTTTTTTTTTTTTTTAACGTATCCAGAAGCCATGAGTTTTAAACCCTTAGGCTCGGTACTATGGATATCGCAACCCATCGGCCTTGATTCCATTATAGGTACCGTTAATCTGGGAGAAATGTGGCTTTTCTGCCTACCCCCGGGAGTGAACCCGGACCACAAGGAGTTCGTCACCAGGCCGCCGCGAAAGTCAGGTTTAACCAACTTCGCTAGAGAGCCGGGCACAGTCTTTCAATAGGCGATGTGGTCAACATCACCCCGGCTGTCTTTACTTCCCAGAAGATAGTCTGGTAACATTTTTAGGTAGTCTTTACTTCCCAGAAGATAGTCTAGTAACATTTTTAGGTAGTCTTTACTTCCCAGAACATAGTCTGGTAACATATTTAGGTAGTCCTAGGAACCAAGGTCTAATGTTCTGCACATTACGCTACAGCTGCTGCTGTAGGTGGGTATAGTTAACAATAATCTTCACCCTGCAAGAGTCCTCTTTCCGGCATCTACGAGTTTTGGATGGCACAATGTCTTTGGGCAGTGACTACTTAAATAGTATCCTCATGCAGATGTCACTTGCCTCCACTTGGCTATGTCTACAAAAACACAGTTTTCTCAGTTAAAAGGAAAGAATTAATTCTTTACCCTGTTTCTATTTAGTGATTACTTCCCGTAATGTTTAAAAAAAAAAAAAAAACGCTGAACACAAAAAAGTGACTACAAATAACATGTAAATTTTTTGTAAAGTGATTTGACAGCTGCAATGCCACAGTGGCCAACGTGCTTGCCTGTCTGCTCTAGGGTTATAGGTTTCAACCATCTGGATATTTATTTTTTTAAATTACCAAGACTCAAAATTTCTTCTGCTTTTTATATTCCTTCTCTAGGTTTCAGAGGAAAGGCGAGATGGACCTATAACCAGATTGTGACCGGTACCATCAGTAAAGGAACTCTTCGCTGGTTGCTGAAGATGAGGACGGAGCACACATGGGAATGCCCCAAGTGCTGTGATGTCAATTCTTGACTCAACTAACTAACTAACTTCCTCTAGGTTCTTTGGCAGAGTTTGAGAAATTATAATGAATTATTATTTCTAAATGAAATTTTTAAAAACCTAATTTTATGAAGACTATTATGGGCAGAAAAGGTTGAACTCTTCAAAATTGTGAAACAAACTAAAAACAAAAATAACTGTCCTTTTAAAAAAACTTTTTTTTTATAGGTACTGTTGAGTCTATATTTTAAAACTGCTTCCTTGTAATTCACAATTAGTTATTCCGCATTACAAACATTATAGTACAATTTTCCTCATTTAAAGAGACATTTCAACAAAGCAAGCAAGTTATGAAAATACTTATCCCACAAACTGATACAAGTTTCATTATTTGTAATATACCCAAATTAGTATTACAGCAGGCAATATTTAAGTATTTGTATTCTAATTTTAATTTCAATATATCACAAGCTGGTGTAAAACACTGAGCACCAACAAAACAAAAATTTTGTTATCAGACCACTAGTCCTAAAACAAAAGATCCTAGCCAACAACAAATTTTTTATAAATCTATCTGAACTAATTTGAATCCTCACTGCAGAAGACTCTTTAAACCAACCACCGACTCCCTAGTCGACCCATCCAATAAATGGGCGCCATTATTTTTTTTAAGTTAACTTTTACATAAACTTGATAATCATAATAATAATAATAACTATAATAAACTAAAAACTGTATTAATAATAATAATAATAAACAAAATTAAAAATTGTTCAAAAGGACAGGCACAGTTTGCTGGGGCAAAATAACAAGGAACAAAGGGATACAATGGAAAATTCCTGTCAATTTCTCATTGACAAATTTTTTTTTCCAACAATATATTTTACAAATGATCAATAAATAGCAATGTCAAACACTTATCCGCTCGATTTCATTTTTTTTTTTAAAACAAAAATATGCACTGCGACATGGTCATTCATCTGCGATATCAAGAAAAAACCTTCACCAGAAAATATGACACTGGCTTTAAAAAATGAATTACTCTAACCCAGCGGTTCTCAACCTATGGGTTGAGACCCTTTTGGGGGTCTAATGACCCTATCACAGGGGTCATCAAAGACCATCGGAAAACACATATTCACTGAAGTTATGAAGTAGCGACTAAAATAATTTTATGGGTCACCACAACATGAAGAACTGTATTAAAGGGTCGCCACAACATGGGGAACTGTATTAAAGGGTCGCCACAACATGGGGAACTGTATTTAAGGGGTCACTGCATTAGGAAGGTTGAGAACCACTGCTCTAACCCAAGATAAAAGTAGTCACAGAGCAGTTAATGCTGTCCAGATGTGAGGTGTTGGGCCTTCACATATTCTAGGCCATGGTGGATGCAATAGGGTGACAAGTGTCATTCATCCGGAAATTGTTTGGTACCAACAGTAACACTTGTTCACGAGGCTAGCTTGACCTCAGAGTCTAATATAATATTCTTACATAATATCTATGAAACATGGAATCATAAGGAAAACCCGGTGTAGGTCCCTGGACCTACAGCCTAGCTGTATATCACAACACAATATGCTCACTGTAACTTTAGGGGCAATTAGAAAAGAATAAGATGAACAAGAACAAATAAAAGACAAAAGAGATGAAAAAATCTAGGAAGCTTCCAAATGTAAGGTGTTATTACAAGTTGCAAAGAATGCACTTAAAAGAACAAAGTTAAAAACGCATTCTTTAACCTTCAGGCTGCGTAAGAATTTTTTTAAAATAATTGAACAAAATACACACAGGGAAACCTTATGAATAATTAAACTGATAAAGTTAAAAGCAATGAGCACTTCAGACCCTTATTCTTAACAGTGCACATGTTTGATGTTGTTTCACGAAGTCATGTCTACATTTTTCTGTCAAGTAATAATTAAAAATAACAAATTAACAATTTGATATACTCATGTATCCGCTCAAACTATATTGACATTTTGAGTTTAATGGCAAAAAAGAAAAAGACGCAAAAAAAAACAGGCATTAAAAATAATGGCAAGATATGGAGTAAGCGAACACCTCATCGAAGTGTGCAAAAGTTTATACAGGGATTGTAGAAGTGTAGTTGGAATAAATCAGGGAACATCTCATTCTTTCACAGTGACATCTGAAGTAAGACAGGGGTGTGTCTTATCACCACTGCTGTTTATCACCTACATCGACAGTATATGCAAGAATGCCAAGCCCATGAATGAAGATCTTAGTAAGATCAACAAATTACTCTTTGCAGATGACCAGGCCTTGATAGCAGACACAGCCATGAAATTGCAACAACATCTAACATCCATGAATGAAGAATGTAAAACAAATAATATGAGAATCAACACTGAAAAGACAGAAGTAATGTCAATAGGAAAAAAGAAGACAGATCTAAACATAACAATAGAATACAAAGGCATTAAACAGGCATCTGAGTTTAAATATCTGGGAACTACATTTACCGAAGATGGGAAATTGGATAAAGAAATTGACATTAGATGCAGTAAAGCAAACCAAGTATTGGGACAGCTAGCCCCCCTCTTACAGCATAAGACAATCCCAATCAGCACAAAGAGACATCTTATTCAAAGCATATTTATTCCAACTCTGTGCTACCAGTGCCAGACATGGTCACTCACAACAAACCATAAAAGAAAATTAGTAACCACGGAAATGAGATGTCTGAGAAGGACTGTAGGAGTGACCATAAGAGATAAGATCAGGAATGAGATCATAAGAGAACAAGTCGGCACAGAACTAATTCTGGATTACATACAAAGACAGCAAGTGGAATGGTTTGCCCACTTAGAGAGAATGCCTTGTGACACCATACCATACAAAGCATACATGGGAAGAGAAGAAGGACGTAGAGCACGGGGTAGACGAAGAACAAGATGGAAGGATAACATCAGAGAAACTCTAAAACAGTACGATGTGCCTATGGTCGAGGCAGCCAGAAGAGCTCGAAACAGAACCTTATATCTCCCTCGACACCCACAGCGGTAAAAGAGGAAGTGAAGAAGAAGAAGAAGAAGAAGAAGAAGAAGAAGAAGAAGTAAAAATTATTTGGCTTTTTTTTTTTTATCTGCATCACTCAATGACGAATGAACAGATGAATCATCTCCTGTACATGATGATTGTTGTAAACCAATGCATTTATGATAGATGCTTATAAATTAATTCAGTTAGAATACATTAACATAATCCAAATGAAAGCTGACGGTTAAAATAATTGCTAAATTTTGCATTGATTAATAATTATCCAATCAGCTAAACTGTTCTGAGTGTTCTTAAAAAAATTTAAAAAAACATTTCAATAGTAAAATGCATAAAAGCAAGAAGGAAATAGGCTGAGGAATTAAGCAAGGAACACATTTGTTGTTGTTTTCTTCAACATTTATGGCAATATGTATGTAAAATGTAATGAATCCCTTTCAAACCACTGGCACATTGGGCATACAGTGCAAGACCTATATTTGTATAGATGAAGCAATTCTTGATGGGTGATCTGTTCAGCCTCATACCAGTCACTTTTACTTCCAAGACATTTCCTTTACCCACTTTAGAGTTTTAGGTGATCACCATCTCTATACATTAAAAAAAAATGGTTGGTTTTAATAAACAGACAGCAGCCATGACACAGCAGTGGACGACCAATTTAGTGAAAAGAAGTTAAATCACCCATTAATGGTAGCACAGCAGTGGTCAACCTATACAGTGGTAGGAAAGTCAATGTCAACCAGTGGTGCGGCCTTTCATTTTTCTGCAAATACTCCTTCTATCCCCCGCCCCCCTCCTCCCTTTTTGACACCCACCCTATCTCTGTTTATTCAAATGCATGAGTATACATGCTAAACGTATAGGACAAGATACCCTATAAATAAATGTGAGGGGTGTTGGAAAGAGATAAAGATAAGGATAAAACACATTTTTTTTTTAAAGCGGGCTTAGAAAGCGGGGAAAAAACTGTATTCAAAATTTTACAATATGAGAATTAACTTTTAAACCACTCTGTTCATAGTCAGAAAAATTGCCAGTGTTTGAACCTTTAGAATTCATAACTTACGTTTCATAACAAAATTGGTTTTCAGAACATCAAAAAATGAAAAAAAACGTGTATACCATATCTCCTGGTAGTCTGCTGTCTTTAAAATTATTACAAATCATATCCAGTGATGCAGAAATGTATGTTTTCCATACTGTAACACAAACTATATTCTTGAAATACAGATACAAACAAATATTAGTTGTCAAAAGCCGATCCTCATAGGTCATATGTTCCAACTTCTTATTTTTCTGGCTTGCATTTAAATAGATTTTCTAACATACATCGTTTTATTGTTAATTTTTAATAGTTATTGAAAACATAAGCACCAACTATCAGTGTGTTACCACATTTCCTTGTTTTCCCTTTAAATCTACAGGCCACATTTGCTCCGACCTCATGTCACACTATTTGAGAACCTGTGTCTCAGCTTACAGTGGAAAAGAACTGGGCTATTCAACAACCATAAAAAATAAAAGAACAGTTATGAAGCTTTAAATATCAACTGTCAAAATGTTGCATTTTTCAGTTTTCAGTTTCATTTTTTAACACTGTGGGGATGGGGGAGGGGGGGGGGGGGGGGGGGGGCAAAGCAGGGTTCATGAAAGAAATAATCAATGGCTTGAAGCCAGATTTTTTGTTGTTGTTTAATCTCATGCTGACTGAAAACAAAATATTTCTTTGGAGGTTCAGTGTTCATACTCACATCATCTCTGAACTATTCAGTAACAATAAACATAATGGAGCAGTCATAAAACTTTAAATATCCAGTCTTAATTCTTTTTTTTTTTTTTTAAACCTTTTTTCTTTCAATTTCATTTTTCAACAGTGTAGGGAAATAAAGCAGAGGATCAGCAAAGAAGGCAAATAATCAATGGCTTGAAGCCAGCTTATGCCAGATTTTCTATTGATGTTGAGTGAAAACATGATTCTTTCAGGGTGAAGGTTCAGTTATACTCACACCATCGCCTGACCAACTGGCTCCACTGTTCACATCATCACTGATGTCTGGGTACATACCCATAGGAATCATGCGGCCATGGTTAGACACGGGTGGAAGGCCAGAGCTGCTGACTTCTGTGCTGTCCTTCCCACCCACAATTAGATCCTACACAATTCCCATTTGTGAAAGACAACTTGTTCCATCAGTACAAAATTTAGACAGGTATTACCATTGATAGAAAAGTAGGACAAACCAAATCACAATGTTTGCAATATGATAGCTACAAAGTTTCTGGCATATAAGCAGAAAAAGAAAAAAAAAAATCAATGCAGTTAAAGTGTTTGTCACAATTATGGGTTAGAAATATTATGGTATAGCCCACCTTCAATGCACATAGATAAGTCCACAAGTCAGGACTATTCAACTGTTTACCCAGGGGGCAAAAATTTGGAAAATGGCGATTGTCACTGGCCAGATGCCCACTCCCAACAAAGACAGAGCATTAATACAAAACAACTGGCAGGTGATTCGCAGGCCACTTGTTAGGCCTTTGGGGGCCTGATTTGGCTCACAGGCCACCAGTTGAATAGCCCTGTCCTAAGTGATCCAGTCTCCACCTATATGTGATACTACGAGATTCTTAACACAGTGCACAAACTCCATATCTGTGTCATTGTGCAGGCACACACACACATGCACACACACACCCCAATAAAAATTCTGATGGGTTAAGCAGGATAACAAATGCCCACAGAAGTTGGATGTGTCAGCCAAAAGGAACAAATATCGCAGCTTTGCAGTAATCGGGCACAACACATTTACGCCACTCAGCCGAAAGATGAAGAAGATACAGTAGTTGTAGTATAAGCAGTCATAATAGAGACATCTTATTTCTGATATTTATAATAATAAGATATAACCAAACACAGTGGTGGTCTTTGTAGCAGCTAAGTACTTCTGTAGGATACAGGTGACAGTGATATTTTGATCTGCTCAAACACTTTTCACATCATGGGACTTGAAGAACACAAATGACCACTTCCATAGCTCAAAAGATTCATCTTTTTCTAAAGAACTACCTCCAGCAGAAAAATATTAAGTGTACACAAATAGTTCTTCTTCTTCTTCTTCTTCTTCTTCTTCTTCTTCTTCTTCTTCTTCTGCCTTTTGTCTCCAAAGCACAGACCCACACAGATAGTTATAGCATGATATTTTAGAGGAAAATTTTCATAAATAAAAGTAACTGACTATAGGAAATACTCAGTGAGACTATACATATACAAAGTGAATCCTTTAACATAAAATTAACATTCATCCAAGAAATAATTAAAACAAATCAAATTAACTAAACCTGAAATACTTTAATAGATCAAATTCTTCATTCTCTTCCTTGTCCACTTTTAGCTGTCAACATGAATACAGGTTAACAAAGCAGCAGTCAACTGTCCTCGTCTCTGTAGTGGTTATCCTCAAAAGGTGATCGCACAGGGCCCACGTTTTCAATTCTGAACATGCTACACAACATGGCAGCTAATGTTTAGCTATTATTTTCCCAGATATATAATTGCACCGATTATTATCTTACATCCATAGTTTATTACACAAGTGTTTTAGTCAGCTATGAAACAGCACACGACCCAAATTAATTAATAGACCAAAACAATTGTCATTACATACAATGCAGTATTATAAATCAAGTGAAACCACACACAGAATATACTCCGCAATGTCCAGATTGCTGGGTAAACAAAAATCTGCATGAATGCTTACAATTGAGCAGAGAGACATTTAGCAAGCAGTTAGGCTTCTCATGAGGACAATCAAATACTCACATTTTTCTTGGACTTCATAGCACACTCTTCTAGCGTCTCGGCAGCTTCATACTTGCCTTGTCTTCGGTACAATGCACCAAGATTTTTCAGTGTTGTGGTAACTGTTGAACTGTGAACAAACATACTGATATCTTAGAAACAAGAATTTACAATCCCTTCATCTAATCTCGTCTCTTATCCTGGAGGTGAATGAAAGAAACAAGAACTGATATCAATGCACTTGATAGGTTCTTATATGTGCTCCTTCCCTCTCCTCAGTAGCCAATGAAAAGCAACCTCATTCATACTGTAGTTGCTTTTTTTTCTCCCCAAGGGGCCCAACATCTTGGAGACGTAATTAAGATAAAGGCACAAGCAAAGAAGAAATACAAATAGAATGTGAATGTAAAGGATTCCCATGGCAGACGGTTTAATTCAAATAAATTCTGTGGTAGTTTTCTGACAATGGTGCTAGAGTTGCACCTTTAAAGATATCAGGCCTTAACACAAAATATTCTCAGAGGTAACAGTGGGTACACTGCAGCTAATGTTCTTTGTGGAGATAGCATACAATTAAAAAGGCTAAAAGCAGTTTCAAAAAAGTTACTGCTGTTGGAGTTCATCTGGGTAAAGATTCAATATTACAGCATGCAGGGCACGGCCATATTAGTTCCATCTCCCTCAACAGACAGCAAAGAGTTTCCATACTGGTGGTGCTCGTTGTCATAACTACACACCTCGTCTTCCCTCCGAGTCTCGAGTAGCACCCTTAGCCCACAGTCACTTCCAGGTGGTATCATTCTCTCCAGGTACAGGTTTTCAGCATCTTCCATTTTCCCTCTTACCTTGTCCCACAGGTTAGGGAGCACCTCTGACATCACTTGTGACCTATAAGATGGGTTGACCGGTTCATATCCTCTTCACCATCCCTTCCCAAACCTAGAAAACTATCTGGTACCAATTTCTAGTGGGCTGAGTCAAACACAGAGCTTTACTGCTTGGGAAAAAATATTCCTGCCTCTGCTGTGGACTGAACTCAAACCACTGTCTCAGAAAGCAGATACTCTAACAACTGTGTCATTATGGCACAGATAGTTATTTTACTGAGTTGTTTGTTTATAGCAATCTCTCGATGCACTAGAAACTGCTGTGCGATCTTTGAAGTGTTGCAGCATCAAGTTCTACAATAAGTACAAAATTGTCCACCCGTATTTCAGTTATTCATATTTCATACATGTTATGAGAATGGACCTGAAAACTTGGTTACAACTAGCAAGACAGATGGAACAAGAATAAGAGGAAGGCAAAGAAATAAATACCTGAATGGCTTGGCTGCATGGATGGGGCGAGACGAGACAAGAGCACTAATCATGATTCCGATAATCGTGAGAGACAGCGAAACATTACCACCTTTGCTTATCGGCACAGTCTATGATGATGATGATGATGATGATGATTATAGCAAACATGTTTAAAGAAATATTCAGCAGATACCTGTCAACTTTAGCATTCTTGTGCCAACCTCCATACTCTGGCATGGGAGCTCCTCCATCTTTACTCTTTCCCTGTAAAATAAATAGTAAACTTTTATAAATAAATAGACTTTATAAACTCATATTTAAAAAAAAACTGTTTAAAATAGTTAATTAGATTAACTTTTTATTATAAACAGTTATTTTTACTGTTTAATGACTCTCAATCTCTTAGTTACATAACTGTCATGTTACCTAACAACTTAATAATTAATCCTGTACATAATAATCTAATAATCTGCCCATGCCATAATGTAATTCTTCTCCTTCTTCAGCGTTCCAAGTCCTTAAGCTTCACTTCTACACAATCACTTGCTTTCAGTTCCTCCTCTTTGACTGGCCCTTTCTTTTCCTGTTGGTGATCTTAATCTCTTACCTCATCTTCTTGGTCTGCCTTGTGGTCTACTCTCATTGAACACTTTTATATAGACAGTTTTTGTCTTCCTGTTATCTGCCATTCTCTCTATACGACCTAACAACTGCAGTCTAGATGCCAGTAAGTAGCAGCGATTTAAACAGATCAGGAATTTTTGTTGTTGTTTCTTATTTTCCTTTCTCTGCTGTTTGCATCTTTGATAGGTCCAAAACTTATTTATCACTTGTAAGAGTAAAGTAAAGGACCCTTTTCCACGTCCTTACTTCCTTAAAAAGGACACAAATATTATGAACATACCTTGTTTTCCTCTCTTTCCTCAGCCCTCATCCAAATTGGTTTGTTTTCCCCTGGAGAGATAGATTAAATACATTTAACTGTTTGCTACAAAGACATCATTTTCTGCAATGAATAACTGAGGCTTCTAAAGGATAACCAGTAAAAAAAACAAAAGGGGAAAAAACCATCTGTTTGTCCCTACAGGGCAGGATACTGAGAAAGCAACTGTTACCACCAAACAACTTCACGACTAAAACCCTGTAATGCATCCTTAAATATTCACCTTTAGAGACAGTAAGTTCCAGACTGCAGCTTTAAATCTGAGAAATCAACAGTAAGCATGAAGTATGTAATGAAAAAACAAAAGAATGAAAGACAAAAAGTTTCCTGAACAGTATTGGACACATCAACTTAACAGTTATTAGACACAAACAAATTCTTCCTGAATATCTGCTACAGTGATCGGTTGCAACATTATCTGACAGAGCCATATGCAGAGCTGCTGAAATAATTAACACAAAAATCTGCTCAAAAACTGTTTGGTAGAAAGATCTACTGAAATATTATTTGATAGGCAAACCTGTTTAAATAATGTTTCAGATTCAGAAGTGATGGCATGTATAAGACTGATCTGTTGAAATATTCTGACAAAACTTCAGAAATACGTGATAGTATACTGAAATATTGTCAGAATGACTGTTAACAAATTATCTAAATATCAAATAAAAAATATATTTTGCTTCGTTTAAGAAAACAACACAATTATGTCATTTACAACTGTGTGAATACATAAAACTTATACAAATAATACGGTGCACGTAGCAGAGTTTGCAAGTTAATTTTCACAATCATTTAATCTTACCTTCTACTTTCCCAAACTCCTTTTCATGTGCTCTTGTTAAAACCTCTTTATACAAAATTTCAGCCTGTTTGTATTTTCCTTGTTTTAAATATGCTGAAGCCTGGTAGGAAAATGTCGGAAATGATTAGCATGTACGCCGAACAGCAAGCAGGTAAAACCATCAGTTTAAGGAACTAACAGGATAACGGAGTTTCTTCTGATTCTGTAAAGTCTTGCTCATATTGTATAGTTTACATGCTTCAGTGTAATTTCTCTATCAACTGATTTGTGAGAAATATCCTGACCAGTACAAAAACCTAGTTACTGAAAAGGTGTGTGTGGTCTGTTCTTCTGGAAGTCAAGATGTAAATGCTGGACAGTGAGTAATGAAATTACAGGGAAAATGGAAGCAACGGAGCTGTGGGGGATGTTGAGAATATTTTGCACAAAAATGAAAACTAATGCTTATTTACTGATATCTGAAGGACATTTCTTGACCCTGGATCAGAACTGTGAGGGAACAATAAATACAATTTTGTATGAACATCATAAAAAGAGGCAGAATTTAGAAACAATCCTTACATCAAGAATATGCTAGGATAGAAAAGGCTTAGAAGACAAAGACAGATGAGTGCAGTCACAATTAGTAACCTAAATGTTTCGAAGCAAAGCACTATAGAGAGTCAGTGATAATTTTGGGGGTCACGGAATGAGAAGATTAAAAACTTCAACATTAGAGAAAACTGGTAAAATCTGTGAACAGAGAGAGGGAGAGAGGAAGGCAACATCATAAGATTCTTGGTGGCCCTATGTCATGGCAGAAAAATAGGTCAGATACATACAACTGGAGACTATAATAAGATGACAGCCCATGCCAACTGGCAAGTCAGGTGATGATTACTGTGTGATAAGGGAATTAATTAACGTATTGTATTTATTTTAATGTATTTTGTAAATCATCTGTTTTGAAGTCTGCTGAAATGAGGGTTTATCATATATACACACAATTTCTGCAGACAATGCCAGTTAATGTTTAATGACTAATCCTTCCCCGTAGTTTTCTATACAGCCATCTATTCCCAGTATATGATACTGGTATTTGCAACTTTGCCAAAGTAAAAATAGCAATGCCTGTGGCACATTGAACTAGCAATCTATACATTACTAGAAGACTGTTCCTCCTGATTTCTACATTAGGTGAGCATAATTATTCTTACACACTAACTGCATTCTAAAAAATATATTAAACATCAAAATATCACCATATCTTTCCTATTGCTATACTGTTACACTATATGTTCTTGCTAAATTATTGCTTCTTTGACAGTTTATTGTTTATTACTATATACATTTTCTAAATATACAAATATATGTCATATACTACAGGGTTCACTGTAATGGCAAACAGTAAAATGTTCAAAAAAGAACTGAAAATGTGAAATTGCAGAAATATAACATCACTACAGTAATTAAGAGGGTGAGAAGTATTTTTTTTTAAATCCTCTTGCAAAAACTGAACAATATAAAGAAACAAAATATACTCATGCTGAAACAACAACAATCAGAAAGCTACTTATATTTCTACAATAACATAAATTATAAATAAAACAACAGAAACAATAAGGGAAACTACCAGTTAGCAATAATAACTGTATGCCCAACAATCCTAACAGAAAAAGATTATTTATAACAACTGACACTGTGGGTTTATGATTATCCCAGTTGGAGTTCTGGGGACCCACTGTGGTGGGGAGGGGAGGGGGTGGGAGTGTGTGTGTGTGTGTGTGTGTGTGTGTGTGGGGGGGGTAAGGGTTAGAAACACTGCACCCTTCTCAAACCCCCCCCCCCCCCCCCCCAAACAAAAACATGTCGTAAAAGTTGACAAATTTGGGTTGCTTCCTTCAAAATTGGAGTGCATCTGCTTGAGAGGCGAGGAACCAGTAGTCTGCATACAAATAGGCTAGATCTGTAAAACAAGTGCAAAACCCAATTTCAGTAACAAGACTAACAGTCCAGAAGTGGGTGAATATCAAGGACATTCCACTGGAGTTTACAGCCGACAAACACAAAGAGGAAAAAGGAGAAGAAGAAAAAGAAGATGATTTTGACTGAAGTGGCAAAATACCAATATTCCTAGAAGTAAAAGGTGAGAGAATTAATTTCATTGCACAGGGTTTTATCCCTTATAGATCAGTCTCCCTCTGCAGAGCTGCAGGTGATCTGCCACTACAGCATCAGACAAACTACAAACTCATTCCTGGAACTCTTCGCTTGCCGCTGAAGATGAAGACAAAGCACTTATGGGAGTGTCCTGAGTGCTGTGATATCAATTCTTAGTTCAACATTCAACAAAACAAATAACCTGTCGCAATCATCTTACCAAATTGTTCTGAGTTTTTATAACATTCGGATCATCAGGTCCCAATTTTCTCTTGTAAATTTCTAATGCTCTCAGATAATATTTTTCCACCTGTAACCATAGACACCCAACACAACATAGTGTGAAATAAAAAGAAAATTAAAAAAACATAAGCAAAGGATATGGAACAAAATTACAGACAACATGAAACGAAATAAAACGGCTCATCTACAGTAAGGTAGGACAAACAAACCTGTTAATAAATCTTCATTTTCTTCTCTGTATCCAACATTGGAGCACAGGCACTCACACAACTTATGCCAATCCTCCCTGTCTTTTGCAATCCCATGCATCTTCTTCCATGTCATTTATTGTTTTTTTTTTTTTTTTAATCTCTGTCTATAACAAAAAAACTTTTCTTTTAAAGATGTTACTCTATTCTTTTAGTCACCTTGGTTCCAGTGTAAGGATATTCTAGTTACACTATTGTCAGGCTTTCTCTGTAGGGGCCCTATTCAGTGTCAGCATCCTTTTTCCTCATTTCTTGGTTTGATGTAATTTCTTCTTTTTCTTCACGTTTCCCAGTTGTAAACTCCAGTGGAAAGTTCTGGCTGTTCATCCATTTCGTGACTTCAAAGGAAGCTCCCAATTAGTCGAATCTTACGACTTGCTTTTCGGAGCGGGTCTATTCTTGTTTTTTCCACAATAGGGCCCTGGAATCCACACAGGGATGATGTAATTTCTTTAGTTCTCTCCCCATTCTCAGGCCTGGTGATTCAGTTGTATCAGTGATGTCCTTGTATTTTCAGCAGCCTGAATTACTGTCATCACCATACAACACTGTCCAGCTGCAGTGTGCCCACAGACAATTCAAAGCAGGACTATTCAACCAAGTTTACTCAGAGGCCGAAACTTGGAAAGTGGGGATCGTCACAGGCCAGTGGCCCAAGCCCCGGCATAGACAGATCATTAGTACAGTACAACTGGCAATGATCTGCGGGCCACTTGCTAAGCCTTCGTGGGACAGATTTGGGCCATGGGCTGTCAGCTGAATAGCCCTGATTTAAAGTTTGCAACACAAGCACAATATACTCACATAATAACATATTGACAACATAAAGAGAAGCTAGATAAAGAAAAAGGGAGGAATCAGACTTCCATAACATGCAAATGTCCCCTTTTTTAAAATTCCCCTACCCCCTCCCCCTCCCAAAAAAAACCAGAAAGCTTATTTTTTCTATAATAAATATTTAGAGCTTCTAGGAGAGAAATGCTATGGGAGATATGGTTTCTTCTTTTATGTTTATCTAAAGGTGTAAATGTTGTGCCCACTTATAACATGGCTGCAATATGTACACCTTCCAGCCTAAACATCCAGCTTGTTTTGGAATTTGTTGCCTAGAATGGCCCTCCCAATTATATGGGGTTTTTTCTCCCCCCTATTCAACCCTTGCTCCTCTCTTTTCTCTCAATTGAAGAAATTTAATTTTTGCATACAGACAATATGGAAATCTGAATTCGGCTTGAAAAGTCTGAATTAAAAAATAAAGAGGTAATGAAAGTCATTTAAACAACAAAATCAACAACTGTGACCTTTAACTACACAACGGGCTAAGTATGCAAAGAAGGCTACACACTAAACAAAACAGAAAATAAAAGCAAGCATAGTAACACTTGAGACAACTAAGCAGCACTGCAGGAGTGTTCTGGACAGTTCTACCATCATTTTCTTCTGCTGATTCCATTAGTTAGTTAGTTAGTTAGTTGGTTAGTTAGTTGGGTTATCCTCATTGCACTCCGGACATGTCCATAGGTGCTCAGATCCTCCCCTCAGTATGAACCCCAACGTCCGATGGCTAATAGTACCAGTTCTATGTTGATTAGCAAGTCTTCTGGCGTAGCTGGTGTGCGTCTCGTTTTTTGCTGTGCCGATCTTAATTCCCAAGTCTGCCATTCTGGCGAGTGATGTGGATTCACTGCCACCAAAGTCCTCTATTCTTCCCATTTCTCTGAGGGCAATGATAATATCAGCATGATCCATAGGCTGACCGTCGGTAGTTGCTGATTCCATGTGTGGGTTCATTTCACCTGGCTAACCCTAACATCCCTATATTATTGGACTTTCCTGGGGTTTCAGGGGTGAGCTAAACTGAAAGTACCAACTATTCTAATCAGCATACCCCATGTTTACAAACAGATTAAGGTGACACTTGTTTGTGACACCATGTGCATTTTTTCATCTCTGTACTTTTCCATCTTTTCCCTTGTTATCCGTACCTCTTTGTGATAATTAATAGTGTTTCAACTTTCCCGCTAAACTTAAATGTTAAAACAGCAGACACAATTTAACAAAAATATATAATATATATGTGTGTGTGTGTGTATTATATATACTAATATACCCCCACACACACACACACACACACACACACACACCCACCCACCCACCCACACACACACACGCACGCACGCGCGCGCACCCAAAACTTATCAGAAGGTATGAATGAGCGTCTGTATTTTTATAAACTGCAGGTTTATTTTTAAAGACTTGATGACTACAAATAATGAGCAGCAGATATAAACTGTATGACAAAATCTGTTAGCTTGGATTAAGAAATCCGCATCTGATATTCTATTACTAACTTATAACAATACACCCAAGAATAAAAGAAACCACAATAAATCAATGCACATCAAAAGCTGTTCCACCGATCAAACCAAGGGTCCTACTGCAACATCATGGAAGTGAATAACCCTTACCAAATTATTCTTGGTCTTAGCTACATTGGGGTCATCAGGACCCAGTTTCTCTTCATAAATTTCCAAAGCCCGCTGGTAGTATTGCTCAACCTGTAATCAACACATTTCAGTCACAAAGATCTGCAATACACATAGCCCCCTCTCAGAGTGTAACAAAGGCAGATCCACAAATGTGTGTTAAACTCAGAGGAAAGCTCTAGTAAAACAGATAACTGAGAAAATATAATGATGTAGTTATATTTTACGCTTAGAGAACTAACATCAGATAAAAGGGAAAAACAAGATGAATAGAAAACTCACAGACAAAAATCACTAAAGACCAAAACTTGTGAGAGAAAATTGACAGAAATGAGCACAACGCACAGGAATGCTTACTTGTTGGATTACAGTCAATGTTTAATATAAGGTAAAAGGCAGAGAAAGATTCTCATAGAAGGTATATAATCCTTGCAGTCAGGCTACAGAGGACATATACATAAAGTCAACAAATACCTTTGTTTTTTTACTGCTGTACACTGTAACCCAGCTTCATTGGATTAAAAATATATTATATCTGTTCAACCATTACATAAGGGATCCTGGAATTAAACAAATTTTAAATCAATGTTGCACTGTGACTGTTCCTGTTATGTCCTAGAATAAACAATATTCACAAATATTCAACTGAAATTAAAAACATAATCATGCCTGACAAGCCAGATGTGGTCAATGCCTTTTGGCAGCAAGTGAACAGTGCAGAAGCACCAACAAATCATCAAAGTCTGAAGAGAAAGATGCTGTGTGGAGTGAAAAGGGTATATGACAAATCTCAACACTCAGAGGAAAAGCAAGTGGACATACAATCAGACTGCTATTGGTAAAACTGGAATTGGAGCTCCACACCGGCTGCTGAAGATGAAGACAGAGTGGTTTTAGGCATGTCCCGAGTGCTATGATGTTGGTTCTTTACTTAACTCAGCTCAAAAACAGGACATTAATTATTATCCTGAATAGAACACTGACAAAACTGCTCAAGTCTTGTGGGACAGGATGGTAACACTCAAGCACCATTAGATCTGTGATCAACTACATAGCTTTCAAAATAACTATTGAAGAAACTCTTGTGAACAGGTGTATGTATGATTACAAAATGGTCCATGAAAAGGATAAGCAGGCACCTTTGAGTTGACTTTTGCTTTCACCCAGAGTATCACAAAGTATGGTACTTACTTACTCTGCCAACTGAACAGATTACTAAAGGGGCACTTTAAGGTAATGTGGATGGGGAAAGAAAGGGGAAACTGCCACATTATTCATTCTTAGACTATCATTATCAACAACTGCAACAACAAAAAGACCTGATGGTAATACCCCATGCCTGGCAAATTATTTTCATGAAATGGGAAAGAGAATGATATCAGAGCAAGTAATAATTCCAGAGATGGTCTTAATTCAACAGTATTACTGTGTCAAGTTCTGCCTTTGGGTTAAAGAAGACAACAAAGATTACATATCACCTATGAACTGTAGTCAAGCTGGGTCAGAATACAATCTGGCAATTCCCTACACAGTGGCTTACGTTTATAACTATTCATGCTGCTATAAATGGGATGAACTTAATAAGGTTGAAAAAAATCAGAGAAATGCTGGACAACCGCTGGCATTAACTGTTATAAAGAGAAATAAGATACTGATATAACCGGTACATTCTGAGATGAAGCAAACAAATTAGAAAATAGGCACTGAAATAGAAAACAAATGGATGGAGGGAGCAAGGACATCCAAGAGAAAACCTGCAGTGACGACAAAGGCCAGCTGCTGGACTGGATTCCAAGCACAAAGGATTGCACAGGATACAACAGACTGGAAGAATCAACAGCGAGCCCTACATGACACATAAATGGCGCAACAGGAAGACGATACTGATGCTGCTACAATAAATCTTTAGCCATCTTTTATCAACATACTGGACATGGACTTAACATGAGCCAATTCTTCACAAATCAAAGAGTTCATGAAGCTGTTGCAGCTTTAGTTTCTCTGAGGGAGGGAAAAAAAAACCATTTTATAATAACTTTGGGGCTTGGCGAAATTCTGTGACACTTACCTCCTCATACTTGCCCTGGTTCTGACAGAGCAAAGCCAAGTTGTTCAACTGTTTGGCCACGTCTGGGTGATCTCTACCTAGCACCTATGCGAGAAAAAACAAATCACATCGAGTATTAGTTGCTGGATTTTATGTGAACTGAATAGTTCCAAACATTGTGTATCTTCTTCTTCTTTTGCATTCATAAGTTTCTTCGTGAATAAGACAACATGTTCTCCCAATAGTTTAAATAGGGTTCATCTTATGCATGGAACATGTTTACAGTATTTATTTCTTAATTCTGGGCTTTAAAAAAATAGAGGTCATCTTATACACTCAAAAGTATGGTAATATTACACATAATGCAGTGGGTGTATGCAGTGACATGGGTGTATGCAGTGACATGGGTGTGTGCAGTGACATGGGTGTGTGCAGTGACAGACAACACATGTTATGCGTCACCAACTATAGACCCCTTACACACTCAAGACAGCTGGATAGGCAGCACTTTGATGTATCTGTAGGGTACCACAATTATAACCTTCATAGAAAGTTGAGCAGCATATCTGAGATCTGCTCATGTTGGATTGACATCCATCTGGCTGTAGTGTCCAAACTTCAGGTATCAACCCAAAGGGATTTGAGGGGATTGGGGGGGGGGGGGCCCTAACCAGAAAGACTACACCCGAAAGAAAAATGCCTAAAGAAGTCAGAAGTGTTAGCCAAAAGGCGCAAATATTGTGGCAATGAGCAATGTAAACAGGTGCAATGCAATTAAGCCACATTAATGAAAATGAAGAATAAGACTGGCACACATATAAAGAAGAATTAGAGAGCATGTTGATCATAGTATTATGAAGGATATTGGCATGTTACCTTCTCAGAGACACCTCCCGTATCTATTGTATCTTCTTCTTCTCTTCCACCTTGTACATCAGCGAAGTGGGGAAAGGGGGGGGGGGGGGGGGGGAGATGTAACATTCGTTGATAAGCTCTGTCAAGAGCACTATCAAGACTGATGTTCATTTCTGTAAGGCTGTTTTTAATGCCATCACTTCATCTTTTCTGAGGTCTTCCACTCGCTCTATATCCATTGTAACATTTTATTGCTGCTCGCTGTGGCAGATAGTACCAGGGCATTCTTGTTAGGTGTCCAAACTACTCCAATTGTTGTTCTTTAATGACTTGTAAGACTGGCTTTACTCCTAGCAATCGTCTGATTTCGTGATTTCATATTCTGTCTTTCCTTAAAACTCCTGCAGCTCTTCTAAGGCATTTCATCTCTGTTGTCACAATTGTACGTTCACTGGAGGATGTAAGTGTTCACGTTTGGCACTGATAGCATAGTGTTGGCCAAAAAATAGTTGTGGATAAGATTCACTTGTTTATGATACGATTAATTCTAAAGTCATGCAGAATCTGACTGTATGTCTGTCTTGCCTTCCCACTGAGTGTAAATTTGTTAGTCAGATCCCCTGGCCACTTCCCACTGCACCATTCTCTCCAGATCGTAATGTACTGATCATAACATAACCCAGATATATAATGCTCTGCGTCTTGCTCTTCTGGCTGCCTCGACCACAAAAACTAACCAGTGGCTATCCTCCGAATAACGGGCACATATTATGATGGCAAAAAACAGGGCTTCAGTCACGTGTCACTTCCGGGGACCTAATTTGCGGTTTTCCGGCAACTACCGCCACCGCCGAAAGTAACCCCCACGTCGCTCATGTGGCGTGGATTGGGGCTAAACTAGATGGCTGGGACTCACAAGCAAAGCTGCAGGAGATGCGGAAGCTGCTGCTCGTGAGTCCCAGCCATCTAGTTTAGCCCCAATTCACGCCGCGTTAGCCGCGTGGGGGATACTCTCGGGGGTGGCGGTAGTCGCCGGAAAACCGCAAATTAGGTTGCTGGAAGTGCGCAAATAACACGTGACAGGCTATGTTAGGGTTTTTTGCGGCCGCCATAATATGTGCTCGTTATTCGGAGGATAGCCTAACTAGTTACTAGGCAGATAATGATACATTTTCATACCCAAAAATTTACTATAATTTATAAATATCTGAATCGCAAAAAAAAAAAAAAGGACTGCGTTCTAAAATTAAGAGAGTGTGTGTGTGTGTGTGCATGCGTGTGCATGCATGCATGTGTGTAAATAATACCACAGACACCTGTATGGGAAAAGAGCATAATAAGAGATTATAGTGGACAATAAGCAGAAATCAGCAGACGCAGCAAAAGTACCAAGCTCACAATCAGATCCTACCTTCTCTCTAATCTCTAGAGCCCGTTTACATAGAGGCTCAGCCTCCTTGTATTTGCCTCGTTTCCCATATAAAACAGCCAGGTTGTTCAGTGTGGCAGCCACCTGTTTGTATTCAAACAATAATCAATTTTTACAAATTTCTGTAACAATCTTACACTACCAGGATAGTTGACCTTGCTACCCCTTATAGTTGACCTTGCTACTCTGATAGCTGACCTTGCTGCCCCAATAGCTGAACTTGCTACCCCAACCTTTGACTTTGCTACCCTGATAGCTGATCTTGTTAATCTGATAGCTGATCTTGCTACCCTGATAGATGACCCATTCTGTTTTCATAGACACTTATTATTTCTGGAAAGCTCACTACTAACAATTTCATGCTTTTACACTTTCCAAATACATTTTTCAACCACTTAATTCCAAAGAACAATCGCATAAAACTGGTTTGTTTATCTTTATATTTAAATATTATGTCATCTTTAAAGAATCAAGTTATGTATTTATAGCATCTCAAAAATCATCTGCTGGTTTTAAATCACCTTTTATCTTTATATTATTTTTGTAAATCCTCTTTTTATCCTCTCTTTATGTCTTATACATCCACCTTTCACTTCAAATCATCTCTTGACGTTATGTATTTGACTGACTATTTAAAACATAACACAAGCGATAAACACCTCTTGATGAGGATGCTGTAGAGGTCCCAGAAACCGCGTTCAGACATTTAAATCATGCTATAGTGGCAAAAGCCAGGGTGGGGCTTCAAATAACAAAAAATTTCGTATTTAAATCACCTTTCTTCATCTTTAAATCATCTCTTGGTTATGTAAACATTACATCACCTCTTTTTTGTTTTTTTAAATCATCTAAATGTATTTAAATCACCTTTTAACATGTTTTAAAACATTACATTATTTTATTTTTTTATAAACAATTGTTTTTTTAAGTACATTTATCTTTATGTATAAGCTTATACACCACCTTTCACTTCAAATCAGCTCTTGTTAAGTATATATTTACTGACTGACTGACTTTCTACCCCACCAGAACATAACACAAGCGATAAACACCCAATGACACAAAGTGCCACCATGTGGATGAGGATCGCCGTGGAGAGGTCCCAGAAACCGCATTCAGACAATTGGCCATATTTATGACCTGCCTATATTGCTGCCCCTGGCAAAAGCCAGGGTGGGGCTTCAAAAAACAAAAAATTTCGTCCTAAAAAGAACGAAACTGGATTAACTAATATGTAAGTATATATTTAATTCATCTATCCTTCATGTCTTTAACCCTTTTGCCTAGGATGTTGCATTTAAAAAAAATGGGTATGAACCTGTGATAACTTCAGAAAAAATCCTTTAAATAAATATTTAAAAAAAAAACATTTTACGCAGGTCGCTAATAACTTTAAAAATGTATTTATGTACAGAAATTTTGTTTTTATAAATATTCATAAAGGGAGTACTCAAACAAAAAAAGAACATAGTAAAGGATTTAATGGAATCCATCCCCTAGGGCTTAAAACAAATATGTATCTGGTGATTCATGCCAAGATCCATATTACTGAGGCTTACAGGAAAATTTTCCGCATGCTGGATTCACAAATAACTGGATCAACAAGGAAACCCTTCTAAGTGCTATTTTTAGTTAATATATCCATACCCAAGCCTTCTAAACATAATGCAGGTGGGGAAAGAACAAACAGAATTAACTATGCTTTCTAAAAACAGGTCACTGCAGAAATGTCATAATATCAGCATTTAAAGGAAGGACTATCACAACCAAGAGTGACCAGATTTAGTCTTCTCGGGATTAAATTATTTCCTGTCATTTATCTCTCTATATAAATTTTTATTAACGCTGACTTGACATCAGCCTTCAAAGTTCCAGTCTTTTCATTACTTGTTCTTCTAATTAAATAATATTTAATAATACCAACCATATTATGCTACAAATAAGCATGCTCAGTAACAACATACAAACATAACAACAGAAAGCAAACAAAATATAAAATTCAGACTTTCAACCAGGACACTAAACAAAAGTAAAACAAAAGGTTTTCATGTTTTATCAATGTCAAAGTAGAACAAAAGATCTGTGAGTCCTGTTTACATCAAAGTAGAATAAAAAATCTGCAAGTCCTGTTTACATCAAAGTAGAACAAAAAGGTTTGCAAACCCAGTTTATGTCCAAGTAAAACAAAAGATCTCTAAGCCTTGTTTACACCAAAGTAAGGCAAGGGTTTGCAAGCCCTGTTTACGCCAAGTAAGATAAAATGTTTCACTAAAGGTTTGCAAGCCGTTTCCGCCAATATAAGACAAAGGGTTTGCAAGGTCTGTTTACACAAAAGTAAGACAACAGGTTTGCAAACTTTGTTTACATCAATGTAAGATAAAAGGTTTGCAAGCTTAATTTTACACCCAAAGTAATATACGGGATTTGCAAACTGGTTTACAGCAAAGATAAAAAGTTTGCAAACCCTGTTTACGTCAAAGAAAAAAGGTTTGCAACCAAGTTTATGCCAAAGTAAGACAAAAGGTTTGCAACCAAGTTTATGCCAAAGTAAGACAAAGAGGTTTGCAAGCCCTGTTTATACCAATGTAAGATAAAAGGTTTTCAAGCCCTGTTCATACCAATGTAAGAATAAAGATTTGCAAGCCATGTTTACACGATAGACATGGTGTTTACAAGCTGTGTTTACACCAAAGACTCAAGGTTTGCAAGCCAGGTTTACAACAAAGTAAGACAAAGGGTATGCAAGTCTTGTTTATACTTTACACCAAAGAAAAAAGATAAATGATTTGGAACAACAACAACAAAAAGGAAAAACAAAAGGTTTGCAAGTCCTATCTACAACATAAAACACTGTGTAAACATAAATTTGATAGGTTTTACAACACTGATTATAACAAAAGGTTTGACAACCAAAATCCCCTCAACACAATAAGGAAAATGAAAGGTTTGCCAGCCCTGCCTACAACAACATTATTAAAATCATATTAGTGATACATTTACTAGGTTTTATTACAATGAGCAAAACTAAAGGTTTCCAAGCCCTGACTAAACCAAAGTTAAACTAAAGGTATACAAGGGGTCTCTACACCAACATTATTTATTTATTTCCATTCCAGAAGGTCAAAGTTGATTCCCCGGGGAGCAAACTGTGAAATTAAAACAATAATAAGCATACTACACAGTGCCCAAACCCACATCCCTTGTGGGAGAAAATGTGTTATTTAGTGTTTTAGCATGCACCCAACTAATCAGACAAAAATGTAAAGCATAGTAATATGTTAACTGGAGCACATGAATAAATTCTGTCACACACAGTGTGTTATCTGGAACCAAAAGAGTTAAATCACATTTGCGATACGCTTAATGTATTTTACAAAACTGAACTAAACACAAGAAAACAACACCCAGAACTACAAACAAGGCAAAATTAAATAAGGAAGGTAATGAACAAGCCTGAACACAAATTGTACATGCAGGCAAAGTAGCTGGGAGACCATTCAAGAAGTCAACTCACAGCTGGATGGTCTGGCCCCAGAGTCTTTTCACGAATGTTAAGAGCATCATTAAGTAAGTTGGCTGCTTCTTTGTATTTGCCTTGATCCCTTTACAAGCAGCATGGATTAAACGACAGACAAGATAAACATGGCATTAACTACGCTATGACGTTATTCGTTATGCTAGTTTCTGCTACGGACTTCTACTGCATCATTAGAAATGTCAGAAACTGTTAGAGATTGAAGCAATCAATGTGCACAAATGGACACACATGGTAAATGATTTGAAACCAAACTCATTTACTGCTTTGGCAAACTGCCTTTTTTTTTTTTATAACTTATGTCTAGTCCATTATGATTTAACATCTCACAGAGAAAGATATTTGTGGTTAAAAATCTGTAGACTGCAGTATAAAATATAAAATGCCAATATGCTGTAAGAGATTCTGCACTTTTGAATGTATGCAGTCGTAGGTACAAGAAATTCAAGACTGAGGACTCAGAACTTGGTCCATGTGGACAGGCACCACAAAATGATGAACATATTCTGCAGACATGATGCTCTCTCTACATGCAACAGAGCAATCTCAGGTCTGGTCAATTGACATCCCTGTGGAAACCAAGCTGTAATGGATCAGAAGTAGAGTCAAACCACAGACTTCACAAAGGTCTGTGGCCTTTTCATTTGAAAACCAGTGGTAGGGAGAAAAAGAAGACGTATGTATGTGAAACATGGACAATCAGCAGGATAGATGAGATATATCTAGTGGCATCAGAAAGGGAGTTACTAAAGACATTACAAAGAATATCAAGGGTGGGTTGAAAAATGAATCTCTCCATAAATTAGACTGTTAAAAATAGTTGTGGATGGTCAAAATTCTTTTAGCATGCAATAAGTGTAGATATATTTAAATACTTTGTGACAACTTGTAAATCTGAAAGGAAAAGAGCTAGGTGAAGATAAGAGATAATTAACTGGATGGAATGGCAACATGGTATAGAGAGAAAACAGCAAGTGCCTGATCCATGACTTGTGATAATGTGGGATGTCTAACAACAAACTTCCACGCTTACTGGCAAGACATATGATGATGATACAGCTTATAAAATATGAAATTAAAAGTCACGAATCAAGTAAAACTGAGGCTTTTGTTCTACAATGTCTGACAAGGCTAGCCTTGTGTGTCCATCTGTGCACAATGACTAAGGCAATGTTATCAGCATAAAATAACTAGTGTCACTCACTGCAGGGTGACTATAGCCCAGAGTCTTCTCTCTGATGATGAGAGCATCATGCAGCAAGTTACCAGCCTCTCGGAATTTACCCTGATCTCTGCAATTATCATGTATTTTGTGAATAATGACAGGGTAACTGAAAGAAAAACTCAATGAAATACAGTGATACCTTGGCTAAAGGAGATGATTTGTTCCAGAATCATATTTGTTAGCAAAAATATGTTTCAGCCAAAACCGTGATTTCCAGTAGATTTCTACAGAAAATTTAGCTCACAACACAGCCATGTTATGTTAGCGTGCAGATTCACTGAAAAATTCATTAGCCAAACCCAAATTTGTTAGTCGAGGCTTAAAAATAGCAAAAGCTATCATTATCAGCCAGGTCATTCATTAGCAGAGATATCACTGTACATGGTAGAATCAGGATATGGCAATGTACAATTCAACTTACTTTGGTCACTTCCTGTCAAGTATCTTACCCTGCGTGGGCATAACACAGAGCCTCTACTGTTTCAAGTGGGTATAGAGATTTTGAGACATACCTTACCCTTAAGATAAGTGATGTTTTGTATGCTTGTAGTGACTATTTTTTTTTTCTGTCTTCTGAAGACAGTATCCATCTTTAATTCCAGCTACCCTTGATTCTGCTTCATTTTCCTCAAACTGTATAGCGTTATTTTTTACCATTCTTCTTCCTACTGCATCCAAGGTAGTTATTCCCGATTTTTTTCTACTGCATCCAAGGTAATTATTCCCTATTTCTTTCTACTGCATCTAAGGTAATTATTCCCTATTTCTTTCCACTGCATCCAAGGTAATTATTCCCTATTTCTTTCTACTGCATCCAAGGTAATTATTCCCTATTTCTTCCTACTGCATCCAAGGTAATTATTTCCTATTTCTTTCTACTGTATCCAAGGTAATTATTCCCTGTATATACATGCTGTGAACAGAAGTACAGTAATTTTTAAATCATGTCACCAATATACTTCTAGTACTTTTTTTCCTCTCATTCTCCGATATCAAACTGTTCTACATTGGAAAACTCTACATCATCATCACCTTCTCTGTTTTGATAACACTGAACTAACCATGATTGTATCCCCTGCAACATGGCTCATTCACTCACTACTTTCTTCTTCTGACAACCTCTGTCTCTATCTCTATCTTCCAAGATGTCACTTTACATCATCATTATCATCACTGCTTGTCACTATGTAACCAGCTGCTGCTGACTGCCTCAGTTCCTTCCATCACCTGTTGGGCAGATGAATGGACTTCATGTTCTCAAGTTTAAGGCCTGTCCATTGAACCAAATTCTGTATCCAGGTCTTTCTTGGTCTGCCTTTTCTCCTCTTTCCATCTACAGAGCCCAGTGTTATCCTTTTGGAAAGGCTGGAAAATCTCTGTAGATATAAGCAGCATTGCATTTCCCGTCTTTTCCCTGTTGTTAAATGAGGTTCACAGCTGCTAATGTGCTGATAAAGCAAAACGTAATATCCTATTACACGGCAACACTTCACCCACAATCATCAAGCCACTCACCTGTACACCAGAGCCAGTATATTCAGCATGGTGGCCACGTCTGGGTGGTCATGGCCAGAGGTCTTTTCCAAGTCTTCCAGCGCCTGTTTGCACAGTGGCACTGCCACCTCGTAGCGGCCCTGGGAGGCATACTGTATGACTAGATTATGCAGGGTGCGCAGCCGAGCTGGAATTTCATATCCCCCGCTGGCAGCATGGGCCATGGCGCTGGGCTGTGAAGGTGACAGCGCTGTGGGGATAATCAAGAGTAAGCTACAGTTCATTCACTACAAAGGCTGAAGATGAGGACGGAGCATGCATGGGAATGCCCCGAGTGCTGTGATGTCAATTCTTGACTCAACTCACCTCAACTCCACTCACTACAAAGGTATGTTTACTCCCGGCAAAAAAGCAGACAAAGACAGGTTGGTGGAGTAGATGGAAATGTACAGGCAGTGAGAATAAAAACAAAACAAAAAAGGTTTCAAGAGTGGAAAAATGAAAAGAATAAACTATTTTCACAGGTCCACGAACTGAGCATTAAGTCCTTCTAAGCACTAATCTTTCACACAACAATTGCATGTTATCCATAATGCATGTTACAGTTAAAAGGAATACACATAATATCTTCTTCTTTCTCAGTCTGGTAAACCCATCTGGCTTCTGGGGCCCTGTTGTGGGGAAAGCAAGAATAGACCCACTTCCTACCCAGATGCATGTCGTAAGAGTCGACTAATTGGGAGCTTACTTCGAAGTCGGAGTGCATCTGCCTGGAAGAAATCAACAATCTGTATACAAATAAGTCAGATCTGTAAAATGGGTGTGTACGCAACACTCAGGTTTGGAACAAGACTAAAGTCCAGAGACAGACGAACAATAGAACAACCAGAACTTTCTACCAGAATTTGCAGGTGGTAAACGTGAAGAAGAAGAAATCCGGTATAAATCTTTTTTGTGTGTGTTGTTGTTGCAGACTATTGGTTCCTTGCTTCTCAGGTAGATGCCCCTAATCAGATGGCTTTTATGACATGCTTGTTGGAGGGGCAGTGGGTCTAATCCCCCCCCCCCCACCCTTCCCACATAGGGGTTCCAAAACCTAGATAAGGAATACATAATACAGTAAAACCTCATTACCACAAATCTGCCTTAAAACAAACACTCAGTTAACGTAAACAACATTTTTCGCCCCAGCGGGAATGTATTATTCATAATGCATCTATTAGATCCCGGTTGCAAATATTTGTTCAATGTGTCCTCTTGATTTTTATATCCCTTCAAATTCATGTTAACGAGATCTTACTGTATGAAAATGAAGAAAAACACAAAAGCATGGATAGCAAATGCAAACATACAATTATACAAGGTCTGACAATTAAGTAATGAGGTTGATTTTATTATGGCCAAGACAAAAAATGCCATCTATGAAGCAAAGCATGGAATGTAAAGAGGCAACATTCATTTATAATCTGGCAACTTTTAATCGCTGCTCGATAAGCAGACAACAAACAAGGCGCCATTTTTTTAAACCTAGTCAGAGGTGCATTGTAATGTAATAAGCATGGAGCAAAAAGCTAACATTAAATTCTTTTTTAAACTCACAAAAAGTGCCACTGAAACAGTTGAATTGATGCAACAAGTTTATGGGGATAATTGTTTATCTTGTGCACAAATTTTCAGGTGGTATTCACGATTCAAAAGTCGTGTGGAAATGATTACTAATACACCTAGATCTGGACACCAAATTTCTGTTTGTAATAATCAACTCACTGCAAAAGTCAGAGAACGTATACAAGAAGATCATTGTTTCACAGTGAGGATGATAGCAAATTAATCTGGTGTTAACAGAGAGACCATTCATAAAATTTTAGTGCAAGATTCTAGCAAGAATAAAGTAGCTTGCCGGTTTTTACCATATCCGTTGTCTGATGACCCAAGAGATCATCAAAACAAGAATTTTTGGCCCAAAAACAAGTGTGTGTTCTCAGCCTTCCACCCTATTCCCCAGAGTTGTCTCCTTGCGATTATTTTTTATTGCCAAATTTAAAGTTACAATTGAAAGGACGCTTCTTTAACGATTTTGATGACATCCAAAGGGTGGTAACATCGACTTTAAGGGCCAAAACAGAAGAACTACAGAGGTTGTTCCAGTGTTTGTTAGATCATGCCACTTGCTGTATCAATGCACAAGGGTTTTACTTTGAATCAGATACAGCTTATATCTTCAACTATTGATTATTTTAATTTTTATGGAATTAGCCTCATTATTTAAATGTCAGACCTTGTACATGCAAACATACATATATCATCCGTCCATTCACTGATTAATCTATCCATATGTGTGTGTGTGTATGCATATGTTCATGCATGCACATAACACACAAACATATGTATATACATATAAACACACAAATATGCATACAGACAGATATAAAAGTGAGAAGAGGATGAGAAAGACACAAATAGTGGAGGAGAACCTCATTCCAAAACAAACAAACATCCCCCCCCCCCCTTAGCAAGCATGCATGCACGCACACACACACACAGAGAGAGCATCTAAAGCACCCAATCTCACTTTCTCCTGTGTCATGACGCTCGATAGGAGTTGTCGGGAGCAGAATCCAGCTGCTATCAATGCCAAGGTATGCGCGCTTATCAGTGACAAGTCGGATGAGACAGATGTGGTGATCTTCACAGATAGGTCCATTTTACGAGGACATAAGAGTGCATGGGCAGGCACAAGCACAGGCGCACGTGCGCGCACGCACATGCGCACACACAAATAAACATATACAGTGTGAATAAGGAGGGAAGTGAGAAACTGAAAAAATGGGTGAGTGAAGAGAAGAAAACATTACGATTCTAGGCTAGTATTATGCAAATTAAATCAACAACATTATGAGATCTGGATATATAAGCAATATCTAACTGGAGGGAGACTTAACAACACAGTCTATGCTTCATTTGGGATTTTAAAATACAGAAGAAGAATCGATTAAAAACATTTTGGGGGTATTTAAATTAATAAAATGTGTCATTATCTTATTAACTGTGTGTGTGTGTGTGTGTGTGTGTGTGTGTGTGTGTGTGTGTGTGCGTGTGTGTGTGTATATATATATATATATAGATATATCTATATATATAAAATGCAGCAATGGTTCTAAAATGCCTTGATTTAACTGTTGAAGACTTCTTGATGCAAGTGGGTCTTGCTGGTCATACTCCCCACAGCTATAGGCTGTCATTCCTATACCTCCCTACAGCACAATATAACACACCCCCCCCCCCCCCCCCCCACACACACACACACACACACAAAACTTACTCTCTTAACGTAACATTTCCCAGGTACGCAATTAATAAACAAAATAAATCAGAATCTAATTTCCTTCTTTTGTTTGTGCACTCATCCTCAAAAGGGCAGTTATCATAGTATGTTGCGGTTTTCACCAAGACTGCGATATCTGTACCCCTTTCGACGCCGCCACCTTTTACAACAAGCTTTGGGGAAGAGGGGGGGGGGGGTGCGCAGCGGACCTATTTTGTTCCCCCACCAGAATACGGCCCCTGAAACCCACACTGGGAATAAGTGTTTCAAAAGTTAAGGCCCTGCTCCTGCCATATGTTCCTTCACCAAATCAATCAATGTGTACATATTGATTACCATCATGAATGGGTCACACGCTCAAGTGATGAAAGAAAAGACCCAGTTGTTTGTGTTATTAACTGGCCACATGTTGTTAGGTTGGAAACAAATTATTCAATAAAGCTGAAATTAATCCTATGATGGATTCTGTTTAAGTTATTCAATAAAGCTGAAATTATTCATATGATGAATTCTGGGTGTTTTTTTTTTTTTAGGAGAGACGTGGCAGGACTTTGACATGGGATGGGGCAGCTCAGAAGTTACAACCTCTTAGTCTTATGCAAACCTGGATTGATCTGCAGTGTAAACTGTTGTAATTATTTACAAAAACTTTTATTTACAAAAACAAGGAAACAGAGACTGCCTTCCCCCCCCCCCCCTCCCCTTTCCCCTTCCCCTTTTCCCCATCCTCATGTAGTGGAATGACAGCCTAGACTTCATGGATAAAACCACAAACAGAAAATAACAGTGTACACTTTATGCATGTATTATCAAAAATTAAAGAATAGGTCAACCAGGCTGCGGTCAAGGCAGAGTTTCAAAATTACAAAACCCACCCACAAAATGTTATTATGGTGATATGTGTGTGAGTGTGTTACTGAGCCAAACTATTTATTTGTTTTAATACTTCAGCTAATTGCATGTCCTCTTTAGGACATCCAAAACCAAACCCCCAACATTTATTGCCTGTGTGTGGTTTACAAGATAAGTTTGTCAATGGCAAGTATAACGGTTAGACAGTCTGCTGGCATGAAGATCTCAGGTTCAAATCTCCACATCAAGACAGTTTGTTTTTTAACACTGGTCTTGGCTCCAAGGTCAACCCAGCCTAAATGGGTGCCTGGTAATGTCCTGGGAAGTAAAGGTGGCCATCAAGTTGCTGACTACATCACCCACAGAATGCTGATTGATCTATAAAAAAAAATAGGAGCATAGCATCATAAGCCTAGGCTGCCACTGTCGTGAAACCTGCCCTTCAGTTCATCAGTTACTTCAGTTCATCAGTTACTTCAGTTCATCAGTTAGTCAAGGGTTCAACATCACTGCAGAAGGGTCGCCCCATAACCGCTCCATTCCTGTGCCAGTGGAAATCACACCACATGTACCACGCTCGCTGTCTTATTTACATTCACTTTCTTTAAAACTGAGTTTGCCATTACTTTTTTCACAGTATACCATTTAGTAGTACATTAAACATTGAGCTACCATCTAAACCAGGGTAGTAATGTGTGGATACGTACTTGTGAGGGGATGGTGGAGTTACTGATCCAAATGGGAAGTCACAATGATCCAAATGGGAAGTCAAAACAACACAAGTTTAAAAGGATCAATCATACCAATAAGCCATAAGAAACAAGGTAATATTTGAAATAAGTGACCGGTACTAGACAACCTCTTACGACATGTTATACCTTCCTGATTAGATAAATTATGTGTTTCTTACTATTATTATTCTTATTTACACTGACAGCTAGCACATTTTGTTGTGGTTTACAGCTAGGCTGTGACATCTGCATATTTCAGTCCAAGATGTCAGATTTCAGAAAACCCCTAATTAGTCACGTTTAATGACATACTTGT